AAACCTGCGCCTGGCACAAAAGTTGGTCTGTTTTTGGAGAGATAACTTGTGCTGCCATTGAGCTCAGCACTAAGCGCTCTTATTCAGCCCAGAAACATATTCTGGAGATTTTCAAGGCACTGCCATTCTTAAACATACTAATAAGGAGAAATTAGCATCTCTTACAGTCAGACTGACCTTTGAGTAGAATCAAGCTTATGAGATTTGCCAAATGCCATGCATGTTTATATTATTACAAGTGAAACTTTCTGATATCTTCTAATTGTACTGGGGGGAAAAATACATGAAGGTTCTGCTTTATTTCAGTCTGAAGATAAATAATGCAATGAGTCGTGTGCTTGGTTATTGTGTAGGAGGAGATCTGTGCAGAAACACATAATTATCTTTTAAGGAAAAGTACAGTACTTTCTAACAGTATGGTAGAAACATAGGATTTACTCAGCAACTGAAGTAGGCAACTTTTATAGAACATGCATGGGCTTATTAGTGTTTTATTTCGAAGTACAAAGATCTCCTTGCTTTACTTAATATTCATCATTTTAAACTGAAATAGTCCCAAGTTTGTCACTAGGCAACTATTACTGGCCTGTAAACTTGCATTAGTCCTCTTCAATGGGACTTCTGTAACTGGTATTCTAAAAATGTGCTTGCAGAAATTCTAATTCAAACCAGCTTGTTCATTTACTTATAATTTATAATGTAAGTGTAAAATTTTCATTATTGTATTTATTGTAATCAGTATCATTCATATCCAGGGTATTTGCAGAAGAATAGATGAATTTAGCTCACACAAAATTCTCATGAAAAGCACTCTTGGTGGCTGTTGCTGGTGGGAGTTGGTGTTTGTGGGCAGTCTCTTCAGTAGCTGCAGTTTGGTGCAGGAAATGCAGTGTACACACCCTTACGTGGTCCTGCTGCTGAGGAGGTGATGGAGCACAGATGTCCCTGCGTGGGGCAAGCCACTGGGTGCTGCAGGGTATTGGCAGTGCCCAGCTTTTCTCCCCTGGGCTGGGGAACTTGTGGGTACAGGACTGGGCTGCAGTGAGGACCAGGGGATGGGAACGGCCTGGTCAGAGTCCTTACCCTGGCTCCCTTTCTCAGTGTGTGCATTTCCTCTTCTAGAGGATGTATTCACAATATTTTAAGCATTTATAAGATCTTTGGATGAAATATGTGCACGTTTTAAAATCACATGCTTTAATCTTCCATATGAATGCGTAACTGGTGTTTTCTCCATCTTTGTTCTTTCTGTAGTTTTGCCTGCTCCTGTCTAGTTGTAATGTAGATGCTGTTCTTGGGGAGTGTATTAAAGCTTCTCATTTGGCAGGAAGTATTTACATACATTTGTAGGCAGAAGATCAGCCCTTTATGCTATGAAGTTTCCACTGAAAAAATGTCTTCTCCCAGCATTGCTTTCACTAACATGGTATAGTCCCAGTAGTAAAACTGCATAGAACACCCAGCATGATACTGATTCTTCAGGCAGGTCACAGAAGTCTGGTCATGATCTTGTTCTTGGATAAGCTGCCCTGGGATCTGTACAAGTCTTTCTCCCTTCGTTTGCAGCCTGAACATGAAATATGCAGAAGTTCCTTGTCGGTCCTCTTCAGCAACTGTTACTTTGAGTAATTTGCGGAAGACGCTTTGAAAAGTCAAGTTACCCTTTACCTTTTTTGGAGATAATCTGGCACTGTTTTAAGACAGTTGAGCTGTGATCGGCGCAGTGGCTGTTAAGAAACAGTTGGCGTTTGTCCAAGCCTGTTTGTTGCATTTCAGGACTGATGGTTTGAGACTTCCTTATGTGATGTCAGTTGTCACGGTCCCTGTTAAATTGCAAGAAATTAATTTCATAAGCAGGCCCTCATGAGCCAGGAGACTGGGGTATCAGGAGATGAAAACGGGAAACCATTCAAGGTTTGTCCAGGGTGACTACAAGAAGGTTTCTCTTGTGACTTTGCAAGCAGAGAGCTGGTGAGGGCGGGCAGAGACAGGACAGTAGTATGGTCCCTTTCCTTACTTAATAAAGGTAGGAACATAAACACAGTAAGAATCACCTTTCCAAGAGTTTTGTACCGGTTTTGACTCCAGAAGTTTCAAAAGAGATGACAAAGTGCCAAGAGTAAGCTCTACGCCAGCAGGAAGCGTCCTTAATGAATCAAAGAACAAATAGTTCTGAGACATAGATAAATATGCTTATGGAAGGTAACCATGGATGATGGCAAATAAACAACCATTTTTCACAGTGTCTCTAGGCAATTAGGAAGATATTTTGTCAAAGGTGATAGGAGGGGGAGAGAGGGCAGAATCCTCCTTAAAATTGTAAGGTACTGCGTTGCAGAGCATAAGGAGGAACTAACAGCGTTTTCTGTGTGGGTTTTATTACTTGGCAGGATCCACTATGACTAAATCTCAAAAGACTGTTTTTTTTTTTAAAAAAAAGTTGCATTTATTTATATATAATGCAGTTTGTTAGCCAAAAAATCAACCCCGCCTTATCAAACCATGTACGGTCTTTATTTGTAAAACGTTTCTAACTGCTTGCTAAACATTACTGGAAAACTATGTAGCTGTGAAGGCAGTTGCTTACTTGTCAGAGCTCAGAGTTCCCATGTTAATCACAACAAGCGTGTGCAGCAAAGAGCTGATCCAGACTCCACCAGTGATCCTCTCCAGTCAGGATAACATCTGCACTCTATTTTATTCCTTTATATAATTACATCTGTTGATGTTTTCTTAATATTTAGCATGCAGTGAGGCGTGCTCTTCTGAAATTATGAATTAAATATGTTCTTTTAAGAGGAAGAAAGCCGAGTGGCTAATGCAACAATCTAACTTTAACTTACTTAAAAACTCTACTTAACAAAACACTTGCCTACAGCAAAGCAAAAGCACCTCACAGGGGCTCTTTTTTTAGTGGGAATTTTTCAAGTTATTTATTCAATTCAAAGAAATTTTTTGCACTCCTACGATTGGGTTGGACAAAAGTCATGGACAAAAGTCAGCACCAGATAATTTTTTGCTTAAGTTGTTAAATTTGAAAACAAATGACGAACAAACCAAAATAAATAAATGACTCTCTCTTATGAAATGGAAACGTAATGGGAACCAGACTCGTATCCATCCAGCCTCCCGATACAGCCCCTGCTTGCTTTGAAGCTGTAATCACTGTCTGGCTATGTGTGCGGGACGCACGGGAGCGTGTCTGGCGTGTGAGATAATGCCTTTGGATTCACAGCAGCAGAGCTGGGCCTTGCAGCCAGGCCTCTCCCCTCCGCTCAGGCCCTGAGCCCCAGCCCATGGCGGAGACTGGGTGAAGTCTGCCTGGGATCTAGGGGGGGATTGTGGAACAGCAACTTTGTCCAGCTCTGAGACTGTTTCTCACTCGTTTTTTTTAGTAACCATTCAGGAAAATGTAAGCATTAGGTATGTTTGGGTTTTAATGAGTTTTCTTTCTGGAAATGTTTTCATAGAATCATAGTAACCATTCAGGAAAATGTAAGCATTAGATATGTTTGGGTTTTAATGAGTTTGCTTTCTGGAAATATTTTCATAGAATCATAGAATCGTCTAGGTTGGAAGATACCCTTGGGATCATCGAGTCCAACCATCTACCCTACTCTACAAAGTCATAGAATCATAGAATGGTTTGGGTTGGAAGAGACCTCAAAGATCATCTAGTTCCAACCCCCCTGGCATGGCCAGGGACACCTCCCACTAGAGCAGGTTGCTCAAGGCCCCATCCAGCCTGGCCTTGAACATCTCCAGGGATGGGGCATCCACAACTTCCCTGGGCAACCTGTTCCAGTATCTCACCACCCTCATAGTAAAAAATTTCTTCCTGAGATCTAATCTGAATCATTACACCTCCTGGCAAAGAGTCCCTCCCCAGCTCTTCTATAGGCACCCTTCAGATATTGAAAGGCTGCTATAAGGTCTCCCTGGAGCCTTCTCTTCTCCAGGCTGAACAATCCCAGCTCCCTCAGCCTGTCTTCCTAGGAGAGGTGCTCCATCCCTCTGATCATCTTCGTGGCCCTCCGCTGCACCTGTTCCAGCAGATCCATGTCCTTTCTGTGTTGAGGACTCCAAAGCTGGACACAGTACTCCAGGTGGGGTCTCACGAGTGCAGAGTAGAGGGGCAGAATCACCTCCTGAGACCTGCTGGCCACACTTCTCCTGATGCAGCCCAGGACACGGATGGCTCTCTGTGTCCTCCCCTACACCATATCCCTCAGTACCGCATTTTTGCATGTTAGTCTGTGAAAACTTACAGCTGTCAGCTGAAACATGGGCAAGAATTCTCTGTAATCATTTCTGAAGTGGTTCTTCTGAGGATGCCTGAACTTAGATTTACGCTCCTAAAATGTAATTGTTCTGAAGGGTGAGGATGCTGACCACTGGATGAAACGAAATAGAACAGGCCGAGTTCCCCAGCTCTGGTGAGGCAGGACAAGCCTGCTGACTTCCCTTGGTGTTCCCCAGTTCACAGCAGGAGGTGAACCACAGTTACATTCAGGATGTAAAGAAAAAGTAACTAATACTGCAAGACTACTAGCTTATCGCAGATTTGTCGAATAAATCTAGAAAAAGTATGCTGAATTCCTCTTTAAATCAAAAAACGCCTACAAGACCACTTCCTTCCTTTCCCCTCCCTTTTATGTAGCTGTTGTCCTGTTTACTGCAAACACTTTTGAAACACTAAATGCAAGTTAGAAATGCACGAGCAGATGCTCAAAAGTGTTTGGCTTCTTGCTCTTTTCTTCTGATGCATCTTTTATCAGATGCTTTTATGTCTGTATGAAGCACAGTTTATCCTCTTGTATAAATTGACTGAACACCGCATGCGAACAAAATTTGAATGTTTATTGATTTAAATAGATGACTTGAATAACTCTCAGTAGCGTAAGTCTGGTTGAATATCAAGTTGTACCAGTAGAGTAAGTTAGAAACTGTGTGAAAGTCAACACAAAACCCCGTGTAAGACTCCTTCTTTTCTCTGCTAGTGTTTAATTATCGGAGGTGGCCCATGTGGCTTGCGGACTGCCATAGAACTTGCCTTCCTGGGAGCCAAAGTCGTCATCGTAGAGAAGCGGGACACTTTTTCAAGAAACAATGTGTTGCATCTCTGGCCATTTACAATCCATGACCTCCGGGGACTTGGAGCAAAGAAATTTTATGGAAAATTCTGTGCAGGATCAATTGATCACATCAGTAAGTACCTGAGGGCATGGGCACTGTTCAGATAAGAGGTGTACTGGGGTCAGAAGATTAATGGAGACTTTCTTGATTTGGCAGAAAGCTTACTTTAAACGTTCGAACGCATGTGTGCACACACACATGGGGGAAAAATAATGGTCTCATTGCAAGATGGCAATTGAACAAATGAGTCTTATGGAGCAGCACTTTTTTTAGTCTGCATTTGTTAAACAATAGATTTTTCATACAAAGTATGAAGAATATTTATATTCAGTCTAGTAGTTGAAAGTAGACATAAGCCTTAATCTAATGAGACAACAAATGAGTCTTATGGAGCAGCACTTTTTTTAGTCTGCATTTGTTAAACAATAGATTTTTCATACAAAGTATGAAGAATATTGATATTCATTCTAGTATATGGAAGGTAGACATAACCCTTAATCTAATGAGAACCTGCTGACTTCCCTTGGTGTTCCCCAGTTCACAGCAGGAGGTGAACCACAGTTACATTCAGGATGTAAAGAAAAAGTAACTAATACTGCAAGACTACTAGCTTATCGCAGATTTGTCGAATAAATCTAGAAAAAGTATGCTGAATTCCTCTTTAAATCAAAAAACGCCTACAAGACCACTTCCTTCCTTTCCCCTCCCTTTTATGTAGCTGTTGTCCTGTTTACTGCAAACACTTTTGAAACACTAAATGCAAGTTAGAAATGCACGAGCCGATGCTCAAAAGTGTTTGGCTTCTTGCTCTTTTCTTCTGATGCATCTTTTATCAGATGCTTTTATGTCTGTATGAAGCACAGTTTATCCTCTTGTATAAATTGACTGAACACCACATGCGAACAAAATTTGAATGTTTATTGATTTAAATAGATGACTTGAATAACTCTCAGTAGCGTAAGTCTGGTTGAATATCAAGTTGTACCAGTAGAGTAAGTTAGAAACTGTGTGAAAGTCAACACAAAACCCCGTGTAAGACTCCTTCTTTTCTCTGCTAGTGTTTAATTATTGGAGGTGGCCCATGTGGCTTGCGGACTGCCATAGAACTTGCCTTCCTGGGAGCCAAAGTCGTCATCGTAGAGAAGCGGGACACTTTTTCAAGAAACAATGTGTTGCATCTCTGGCCATTTACAATCCATGACCTCCGGGGACTTGGAGCAAAGAAATTTTATGGAAAATTCTGTGCAGGATCAATTGATCACATCAGTAAGTACCTGAGGGCATGGGCACTGTTCAGATAAGAGGTGTACTGGGGTCAGAAGATTAATGGAGACTTTCTTGATTTGGCAGAAAGCTTACTTTAAACGTTCGAACGCATGTGTGCACACACACATGGGGGAAAAATAATGGTCTCATTGCAAGATGGCAATTGAACAAATGAGTCTTATGGAGCAGCACTTTTTTTAGTCTGCATTTGTTAAACAATAGATTTTTCATACAAAGTATGAAGAATATTGATATTCATTCTAGTATATGGAAGGTAGACATAACCCTTAATCTAATGAGAAAATATGCAAAAGGTAAAATTTTCTATCCTAAAATGTCTACACTAAAATGTTCAATGTATTAGCTAATGATATGTAAAGGATCTGCCAAGACAGAAAGCTCTAAAATTAAAGTCTTCTAAGAAACTTGCTGAGGTAGTTCTATTACCTATGAGACTCTGCTGCAAGAGGAAGATGAGCCGGAAGAGAAGAACATCCTGTGGTGGTTGCTACATTTGCATTTGTCACAGTATGGGAAATAATAACGCTGCATGCTTGTGTTAACAATGATGTTAACAACATCATCCAACAAAGTTGGATGGCATGCTGGTAGCAGCTGTGATTACTTACATATTAAATACATCTTTGTTACTTGCTGTCTACAGGTATTCGACAACTTCAACTTATCCTCTTCAAAGTTGCACTTATACTGGGAGTTGAAATCCACGTGAATCTAGAATTTGTGAAAGTCCTGGAACCTCCTGAAGATCAAGAAAATCAAAGTATTGTTTATCTTAATGTAGTTCCGTTCACAGTAACTTCTTTTTATGTCAGGCATTAAGTGAAATCATTCAAGACAGTTGAATTCTGCTTAAAGAAATGGGAGGTTTTTGCCCTTCTTACTCAGCTAAGTTTGCTATATGCAGTTGTAGGCATGATAACTGTCATTGTGATAAAGCACTGATAATTCTTAAAATATGACCCAGGCTGAGAAGTTGAGGTTTTGCACTATGCCTTCTGGCATGCGTTTGAGGCTTTGTAGGGAGTCTGGTGTGGCTTTTTGGTATCTTCTTGCAAAAACAATTTTTGATTGATAATATAAATATTGAGGATGGATTAAGCTCCCTGGGCCTCATTTTGCTTTCACATTTGATATAACTCCCGCTGGCACATGGAGTCTTATCAGCCATCTTATGCAAGATTTTTAAACAAAGTAGAGAAGAATTTCTTATTCTTTTTTTTTTTTTTCTACTTTTTTTAAGATTAGTATTTAGGGTAGGAATAGAATATTTTAAAATTTTACTTTAAATACCATGCTATCTGTCTTTAAATGGTTATATAGTGACAGTGGAATGAATACATTGTTTTAAGTAGTTAAAGCGTATGTAATTTTTAAATTTGGACAATATGTTTTCACATAATCAGCTTTGTGCTAATGCAAAGATTAGTGCATTAAGAGAACCAAATGAAGGCTTCCTTTTTTTTTTTAATTTTATTGTCAGTTTATGAGCTTGATGCCTTGCTAATACAGCCTGAACTTCGACTGCAACAGGACTTCCCTCCATCAGACCAAGGCAGAATTCAGCTCCATTTAAACAAGAATAATGGACCGTTTATCTTAACGCCCTTTCTTCAGACTCTGAAATCACTTCTCGATTGTATCACTGAAGAATAAATAAATAAATATTCTTTGTGTTTTTAGAGATAGGTTGGAGGGCTGAATTTCTCCCTGTGGATCACCCGTTGTCAGAGTATGAATTTGATGTTATTATTGGTGCAGATGGCCGCAGGAACACATTGGAAGGTAGGTGGATGTATGCTTTTAGCTTTATTAACAGTCTTTAGGGTATTTTGGAAGGCCTGAAAGTCAGAGGCTACCTTTCCAAAGCAACAGGCTACCTTTCAGTCCACTGAAGTCTGTCTTGAAACTATTTTTTATGTGGTATCTTCTGCTTTTGTTACTAAGTTGTAGCTCAAAATATAGACATTTACTGTCATTACCAATTCTCAGCACTGTGCATCTGCATTGCCGATGCACTTACAAAGTGCATCATGATGCCATTGGGCTTGCTTCAAGGTTAAGTAATTATATGAGGATTTAGCTTTAAAGAGGCTGGCAAGGTATGTGTCAGGAATTGCATAGTCTTTGTTATTGTGCTGTAAATTTGCACTGTATGAACCAGTGACCAAAACGTGACTGCCAGGTATTTAATGAAGGCATCAGAAGGTATTGCTCTTATAGAGATGATTTAACTTCAGAAGCATTATTTTGGAAATGATACCAAAAAATGATAAATAATGCTAAGGGAAGGGGGGGTGTGTGTGGAATGCTTCATGAACTTGAGTCGCTGCTGAGAACTCAGACCACCTGAGCTGTCCTTCTTAGCAAGACACTGGAGCTAAGCTGCTCCTGTATCACATGAACAAACCTGTTACTTAATTATATGTTCCCCTTGTAGCTTTAATTATATCCACATTAGTTTGAGTTCACTAAGTACATGGTTTCCTTTTTTTTTAGCTTCATAGTTTGTCTGCTTATTCTACAAAAGGCTTACAGTTAATTCCTTACAATGCTCTATTAAAAATTTCCTCACACTATTGTCCAGCTATTGCCCATAAAAGACTGTTTAAATAGTCAGACATCGGCAAAATGAAAATATTCTTACCTCTTTTGAGAACTTAATGGTTATCATAGTACTAAGATTCATGTTTAGTGCACTGAAGAATATTACATACAGAAGCTGGTCATATTAAATTTTGTAAAAAATGAAATAACTGCAGCATATCAAGAAACACAGAGACGAAAATTCATAGCTGATCTATTTCTTCCTTGAAAATGCATGTATCCTCTGAAAAGTCATCTGCAATTGGCTAAAAATACTCTTAAGAACCCTCTGTCCTACTTCAGAATTTACTTAAGGATCAGGGGAATGTGCAGAGGGAAAACCTTTAACGTGTGATTGCAAGATTGTGGCTTCGCAGGCTTTAAGAAGCAGCTCGGATAGAGAGAGAGCAAGTAATTTCTCAGCCAGTCTCACCTTAGAAAAATAACAGTTAAACCACTGAATATTTTTCAACCCCTAATATTGTTGAAGAACCTCCTTAGCTGGTAGTGCGGGCACCTAAGCACTGTTATAGAGGTTTCTGGTTTCCAGATCTTTTGCTGCTGCTTTTGACTGCTCATCTCTTGCATGTTTTTTCCTAAGTTGTTTACCACCTGTATAAAGCAAATCTTACTTGCTGTTTAGCCTGTTAAAAATGTTTCCCTCCATTAAATTTGATCAGCTTTATTTCCAATCTGTTTTTCTCAAGTCATCATTTGTCGTTAACTTCATCCCATGTTCAGCTGCTTCCCATAGCTCTCCTCCAGGCATATTTTTTTTTAATGAGACTTTATTCTGAACGCAGGACAGCTCCAGTTTTGCAGCTGGAAGTGAGAGGAAAAGACTCTTTGTGTTCAAGTGAATTTTGGAGGAATGATGGTATCTGCAGATGGTGTGTGATGGTGTTTGAAGTGTAGGACTAAACATAGGAAAGAGACTGAGCTGTCTTGAGCTGACCCTCCCTGAAAGTCCAGTGTGAAGTTACCAGTGTTTTTAATTCTTTCCTTTGCTTGCTAGGTTTCAGGAGGAAGGAGTTTCGTGGAAAGCTGGCTATAGCTATAACTGCCAACTTTATAAACAGAAATACAACTGCAGAAGCCAAGGTAGAAGAAATTAGTGGTGTTGCTTTCATCTTCAATCAGAAGTTCTTCCAGGACCTTAAAGAGGAAACAGGTGGGTGCATCCTCATTTTTTCTACAACCAAATACAAGAGGCAGTAAACAAACTCACTATGTGCCAGGCCACACTCCTGTTCCTATTAACATAAATTTAAATATATTGTTTAAAAACCCCAAGTGAGAAAATGCTGTTGATGTCAGAATCTTGCAGACAGAGATGTCCATTTATGGTACAGTGTGATTTATTTATTTATTTAGCTTGGGCGTTGCCACATCATAGCTTGTTTTAATGTTTAAATTTTTGTCAACTGTAAAAATGTCTGCTATGTTGAACAAATTTAGAAGAGCACTTTTAGTGCCCAGAGATTTCCCTCAAGACATGGTTTGTTTTGTTTATATCCGTTCACATACTGAACAACTTAAATCCTGTGAAAAAGGTTCTGCCCTTCTGGGAGGAGTTTATTCTTGCTTTTTGATGTGTAGATCTGATAAACTGAAAAGAACTAGACAGGAATCTGCCATAAATACTTGAAATATAAACTGGGGGGGGGTTCAGAATAGTTGTATCCACTGTCAGTACAAACAATTCCATTCCTGATTTACAGCTGATTTTTTTTTTTAGTAGTATTATTATTATTACTGAAACCAAACCTCTTGGTTAGATCCAATGCCAGAGCCATAGCAACATAAAAAGCACTTTGTTCCCTTGGGTCTGCTTTTCTACCTCAGAAGATTGTTAAGGCTGTAGATAAAAGGATACTAAATAACTTCAAATTATGCTGAGACCAACTCTTGTGGGATAAGACATATCTCCTCTCTTGTTTTGTTTTATAGTATCTTGTCCACTAATGCTTCATCCCAGCTGGGAAAGTGAATGTACCCCAAGAAGGAAATGCACCTGTGGGGATTGATCACATGTTTAAATGACACAGTGCACTGCACTTCATAACAAATGTATTATCTCTTTTTAGGAATTGACCTGGAGAATATTGTTTACTATAAAGATAGCACTCATTATTTTGTGATGACAGCAAAAAAGCAGAGTCTTCTGGACAAAGGAGTGATTATTAATGTATGTAAAAATGCTGGCTAAAACCCTATTTTGTTTACTTGGCACAGAATAAGTGTGAATATCTCCATAAATGTTGTTGCGTGTTGCAGAGGGTGTTTATAAACTTATTAGGACACTTCATTAAAGCTCAGATCACTTAGGCCTTACTTTGCCTTTTTGTTTGCTCGTTTGTTTGGTTTTTTTCCCCTCCAGTCAGCACAAAGTTTCTGTAGAGAACTGAAAACAATATTTCCTAAATTTGTCAGGTCTGAAACGGGATCTTGACTCACCTTGGAAGAACGTGGTGTGGTCATCACACCAGAAAATAAATGCCTCATTCATTTAAAGGTGAACTTAGCACAGCGATGTCCAGTTTTATCAGGCAAATAAGGAAGCTTTAAAACCTACCCCAGGCTAAATTGCAAATGTGTTTAAGTGGGTGAAACAGACAGGAGGAGGCTATAAACACAATGGCCTGAACTTTCAAAGGTACTTGGAATTTTGAGGCTTTTTTATTTTTTTTCTGTCTTTTTCATCCTTCTGTAAGATGTAGGGGTTTATTTTCTTTTGTTTCTAGAAAGTGTTTTGGCACCATTTAAATTTCTTTTCCTGGAAACCCAGGAGAGGTCAATTTTTCTTGCAAAGTAAGACAGTGCCAAAAGAGTTGAGTATAATTTCCCCGAAGGAAGTACTTGTGGGAAGCTATTAGAAGGCTTCTCTGTTTTCTGATGGGACCACTTAGCTCTGTGCCACAATTTCCTTGGAGGAAAATGGGGGGGTTCCAGAGCAGAGCAGCTGGTCTTGCCTGAGTGGGAGGGGAGAAGGGAAGGGTGGCAGCTTCCAGCAGTGTGGTGGGGAGCAGGAGGTGGGCCCTGGGGGTTGAGGGGCTGGTGTTTGTAGGTGGGGGCAGTCCCAGGAGATCTGTGGGGAGTTTGGAGAAGAGGAATTGTTTTCCTGACCTGCCCAGGTCTGAGTGGGGGGAAAAAAAAACCCCAGTCTGTCTAAAACAACTGGGCTAATAGCAGTTCTGTGGTATCATCCCTGTGATTAGGGGTCTCATCCATGATTAACCTGTAAATAGAAACTGCTTTATTAATAATCACTGGCTTTAAGTAGGATGACCTGTAAAGGCAGGGTCCGTCACCACACTGGCCAAAAAAAAAAAAAACAACCAAAAAACAAACAAAAAAACCCCACAACAACCCAGCCCAAACCAGAACAACAGAAAAGCTTCTGTGGTCCAGATTTGACTACGTTGTTACTGAGATGCTAAAGCAAACCTTCAGGCTGGGACCCACGTGTTATGCCATCGGTACATCGCTATTTTTGCTCTCGTGTGGTTTCAGATGTGGGGTGCACACATGCAAAAAGGCATTGCAGCAATGATGATAACATCTTCTGATGGGAGGGAAGTAACGTTATGAAAGAATTAACACATAACTGAGGAACTGGAAGGCACTGTAATCTTCTAGTGCAAATAAAGCTGCTAATTCGGTGTTGGCATAGAGAGTTCCTGATTGGGGTGGTACAGTAACCTATGGCTGTGTGTTAACTTTTTGGAGGAGATAACAAATCTGACTTGGTTCTTTATGCTGTGAGGTGTATGGTTGCCACTCTGATGCTCTGAGACTGCAATGCTCCAATCCAGAGAGGATGGTCAGAGTGTCTAATCCTATGTGCTTCTCTCCTTGCAGGACTATATTGACACCGAGATGCTCCTCTGTGGGGAAAATGTGAACCAAAGCAATTTGCTGTCCTACGCCAGAGAAGCTGCTGACTTTGCAACCAATTACCAGCTGCCTTCCTTGGATTTTGCAATTAATCACTATGGGCAACCAGATGTAGCAATGTTTGATTTTACTTCCATGTATGCATCAGAAAATGCTGCACTAGTGAGAGAGAGGCACAGACATCAGCTCCTGGTGGCTCTGGTTGGAGACAGTTTGCTTGAGGTATATGTTGGAATGTCTTCCAAGTAGTCATTTGTGCTTTTTTTTTTTTCTTTTTCCTTTAATCCAGCCATTCAATGTACCCTCCAAAATAAACTGTCTTCTCCTATATGTCCTGAAACAATGGTACCTTCTTTGGAAGAGACTTTTTTCTTTTTTATCCCATAGTTTATGTCATAACTAATACTTGGCTGGCAGTCTCTGGCTGAGATCCTATTTCACTTTATGCAAGTTGTATTTCTGTCTGAAAACTGAGAGCTGTGTGTCCTCAACTTGGGTGCATGGCATAATTTTCCTGACTTCCATCATGGACAAAATCTTGGTCCCAATTTTTTTTTTTTCTTGCAACTTTTTTGCCTTAATATATTCTCTTTCTGAAGTGAAAAGTGTCTGTTGCAACTAATATTATTTTTTTTTAACTCATGCTGACAGCTTGAAGTGTTTGAAAAGATCAGCCCAAAGCAAAATTAGGAGACGAGAAGGCATCTTTTTTTCCTTGATTAATTCTTGAGCATTGAGTCTTTTTTTTCCTTAGCCTTTACCTCTTGAGGTTATGAAATTTATTTTTAAATATAGAACTTAAAAAAGAGTGAAAGCAGTCTTTTCATTACCGAAGACTTAGAAGAGAGGAACATCTGAAAACTTCAAGAGTTGGCTATGTTGTGTTTTAGCTCTTTCTGGGCTACTTTTCTAAGACAGTATGAAACCCTAGACTCCAGATTCACATTGCAAGTTACTTTTGTAACAATAACTTAAGAAATACAAGGAATTAAAATGTAAATGCTTCTTACAGCCCTTCTGGCCAATGGGTACTGGCTGTGCAAGAGGTTTCTTAGCTGCTTTTGATACTGCATGGATGGTGCGGAGCTGGGCTCAAGGAAAACCCCCATTAGAAATCCTTGCTGAACGGTGAGTGCTTTGTCTTCTTCATCATTTCTACTGTTTTAAAGAGATGCAATATTAGTAGAAGGCAGTGGAAACCAGAATGACAACAGGAGAAATAGTCTTCTTCACTGCCATGGCATTGGTTTGAAATTATCCATTCCTTTAGGTTACCGAAGAATTTACTTTAGTAACAGGCCATTGCTCTGTAAGTTTCTGCACACTACTACAGAGGTCCAGCAACGTGCATGACATGGGTTTAAAATCACTAATTTACATCACCAATGCCTAGAATTAAGTGTCATCCTTAAGGAAATAGACCAAAGATAGCTTGTGTCAAAAGAATAGCCCTCCAACCATTTCAGCACCTTGGTTTTTTTAATTAAAAATATATACTCCTGAAACAAGTCTAAATAAAAACTTCAACAGTACCACCTTTCATAGTTAGTACCTATGATTTTAACTCTGCATTTTACCCTAGTAGCCCCAATGCCTTCTTTATTTGAACTGATAAATGCGTGCCAAAAGAGAATTGCTATAATGCTGCATCATAAGCTTCTCTATGGAATGTCTTTTAGACCAGAGCAAAAAATCTGTTGTTAAGTACCCCAGCAATCCTGGGGTTGCCATGGTCTGATGGTTGAAGTTGCTGACTTTGGTCCCAATGGCAACTGCCCTGCTCCACTACAGCTGCCCAGGCTGTTTCAGGGCAGATAAGTCATAGAAATAGTCATGGTTGTGGTAATGCAAGTAGAAGCATTACTAAGTACAGTGCTTTGAGAAGTTTTAAGATAGAAGCCTGTGGGATGACTCAAACACAGCATAGTCCCAAATGGAAAATTGAACAGCATAATAAAAAAGGCTGTGGTGGTTATAGGAATTGCAGAATGACGGGATTTAGTGCTGTTATGTGGCAAAGAAGTTACTCCTTGGGTGGAGGTTAAAGCAAAACCAGATGACTGAATGATGTAACCTCCTTTTTTCTTGGTTGCTTCCTGCCTCAGGAAAATATGGGCATAAGTTCTAAGAGTCTGTCTTTTTCTTGTCCTTTTTCTGTCTGGCATCTTTCTCCTGCTGAGCAGGGATAAGACATGGGACGGATGCATTCTGTACTTAGTGCATAACACTTGTCCAGGCAGAATCAAAATAAGCAGGTAGCTGCAAAAAAAACCCCAGAACATTCCTTATATAATAAATATTTATTTTAACCAATATCTCTCGCATCCTTTTTCTCTATAAGAGAAAGCATTTATCGACTCTTGCCTCAGACTACCCCTGAAAATATTAACAAGAACTTTGACCAGTATACCATTGACCCAGGAACAAGATACCCAAACCTGAACTCCAGCTGTGTTCGACCTCACCAGGTCAGTATTCAAAAGGCTTGCTTGTGGAATCACAGTTTACTTTTTGCCTAGAAGAAATAGGGTTGCAAGTAACGCGTAAACAAAACCTTCAGGAGACTCCTTAATTTAGAATCAGCTGTTGATATAGCTAACCTAGAAAGAAAACTTGTTTTTTCTCTCCAAGCAATCCTAACATTATGCTGCTAATCACTTTTATTTGTAGGTGAGACAATTATATGTTACCAATGAATTACAACAATGCTCTCTTGAAAGAGTAAGCTCCATTAGAAGATCAGTGAATCTCTCAAGACACGGTATGTGGCATCTCATGTTTGCTGCGGCTTAGTGTTTGGAGCCTTCTGAGCATAGAAAAACTGATTAAAATGTTTCCTGTCCACTGTAACTGCAGAGTCAGATATTCGACCCAACAAGCTTTTGACCTGGTGTCAGAAACAGACAGAAGGGTACCGTAATGTTCATGTCACAGACCTGACTACCTCCTGGAAAAGTGGCCTTGCGTTGTGTGCAATTATTCATCGCTTCAGACCCGACCTCATGTAAGTGACATCTGTAGATCTTGTTGAGTGTAGAATATATTAAGCATTTACCAAAGTATAGTGTAAGACAAACCAGAACAACACTGATACTCTACAGTCCTGCTCTATTGCTAGTTTTTGCAAAGAGGTGCAAACCATTGCCAGGCTTAAGGGATGAAGAGGGTGGGGTTGTTTTTGCTTTGTTTTCTCTTTAGGTCTTGCATGCCATTTAAAATGAAATATATATGCTTTCAAAGAGCCAGGAAGCTTTGAACCTTATGACTTATCATCATGTTTGTGGGAGTCATATGGCTATTTAAAACAAAAATTGCAGTGCTTGGAGAATGGGAGAGTTGCATTCTCAGATCCCTGGAGACAGGTTTTTAGTGCATGTTTAAAACCATGGCCATAATGGCATTGTCAAAAGTTACAGAAATACCTGGATAAACCTTCAATGAGCCATCCTCAGTGTGTTGTAATGGTTGCTGTGGCAGTCACGTAGGGAAGCATTGGGCACAGGAGGTGCACAGGAGATGATGGTTTGGCACAACTCTTTATCCAGAAGACTGCAGTGCCCTTGCATGTGGGCTATGCGGCAAGGGCTGGCCCTTGAAAATTAACTGTTTTAGGGACTGAATGTAAGCCAGCATTGCCCTGTTGACAGTGTTTCTGGGGTCCTAATCCTACAAGACCTGACTTCTTATGTATGAACATCTGGTAGGGTTCCTCAGTTGGCTACAAGAGAGTGGGTATGTAATGGGTGTCAGGAAATGGCAATTTCTAGCACCGGGTTACTGGGCCTGCTTGATGCAATCTGTGGTGGATTGACTCTTCTGTCCTCTGCACCAGTCCCCTTTTGGGGACACATTCTCTTGCCTTCTTACACAGGCTTAAGAGTCATGAATGAATTATTACCAGCCTCCCTTTATCGTGGATACATGAAAGAAATGATTGAGCTCTTTTATGAGGTGTGATAAGTTGTAAAAAAAATTGGAGCAATACCCAGGGTGCTTGTTCATATGGCTTTGCCAGAGGAAGAGCTAACATTGTAAGAATAAGGTGGGTTGTTTTGCCTTGGGTTAGTTTAAAAAAATGAGAATTATGGATGGTTTGGTGGATATAAGTTGGGGGGAGAGTGTGCAGAAAGCAAAGTCATCTTTGCTGTCTGTGGATTATACACTGGTCTCTCTAGAAAGTTGATAGATTTATCTTCCTGAGCTAGCAGACCTCCTGCTGTTTAATTAACATTGTGTTTGGATCTTGCTGGCTTTTTTTGTGTTAAATGGGAGTGCTGAAGGACTTGGCCAGATGAAAGCTGGGCAGGCAAGAGAGTCAGCTGCCTGTGGGCTGTGGGCAGCGCTGGGGTGGAGGGCTGATGACAGCCCCATGGCTCCAGAAAAAAGAGGCAGAGTGTGTGGGTTGGGGGGAGAGAGAGGAATTCTTTGGGGGTTCAAAACCTCACATTCCTTACGAGGAGAAAGAAGCTACACTGCCTGGAGCTTTGTAATTTATTCACATGTTTATTTTAATCATAAACTTTGGAAGCTGTTCAAGGGATCAGAGTCTTAGAATAGGTCCCATAGAAAATGGATTAGAGAATGGATAATTCAGTTCCAGATGTGTGGTGGACTTATTTAGTGCACTGCTAAATCCAGTTATGACAGAGACAGGAGGTCCTCATTCAAACTGTGTGCGTAACACCTTAAAAACGAAGGTTGTGCATGTGTATGTGCACATGTACAACATGTTTCATAGAATGCTAGCTTAAATTTACTCCTCCTGGCTTTGACAATTTATAGAACTAATTGAAACTAAAAAGTCAATTGCGAACAGGTGAAATCTGTAGTACCACAGCTGTATTTGGAGACAAAGAAGGTTTTTCAACACTTCTGAGGATGAATCGCGTTTCTTCATAAATACGGGAATCCTTTTTCATGGGACTACATCAAAATTGAGTTCGGTGAAATTGCTTTTAAATTATATTTCTGGCAAAGCCAGGCTTTGCAATAATGGTATTTGCATGAGACTCTTACCTTTGGCATTGTGTAGACTCTGCAGCTTTGACCCAGTGAAATTCCAGTGCCCTCATTCATCCAGTGGGCAGGGAGCACTGCGTGTTTCCGAGGGGAGCGGAGAGCAGACCACCACTGATGTCAGTTTGTTATCCCTGCAGTGACTTTGATGCTCTTAATGAAGAGGACGTTGTCAAAAACAACCAGCTGGCATTTGATGTGGCTGAGCAGGAGTTTGGGATCCCCCCAGTGACCACAGGGAAGGAGGTGGGGTCGGCCGGGGAGCCCGACAAGCTCAGCATGGTCATGTACCTCTCCAAGTTCTACGAACTGTTCAGGGGCACACCTCTGCAGGCAGTAGGTAAGCTGAACCCAGGCTGCTCCTAATTCTTGCAAGTTTGGGGAGCAGAAGAACTTCACCCGGGCTGCTTATGAGCACTGCTCTTGAGCCAAGAGTCCTTTCCCAGCTGAGCTGTTCTGGCATGTGAGTGTGCCTGCTTCTGTCTGCAATACTTACCTTGTGCTTAAAAAAAGGAAAGGGGGGAAAACTTGATTGAAGACCAGGGTTTTTGTGGGTCCTTGGTGGTTTCAGAGAACGGGAGCAGCTGGATGACTGCTGCTTGACATCATGAAGTTCATATATCAGGTCGTTAGAGTGATTTTCTGGTAAGGATGACTGCATATGACTTGTACATTCCTGGGTGTTTCTCTTCCTTTTTTAAAGTCACCCTGCATTGTATGTATATACTTTTATTTGCTTGGGTTTGTTATAGATAATTGCTACCAGCACTCAACAGGAAAGTTCTGGCTTAGTTAAGTATTTAAAAAAAGAAATCTGAATATATATCCTAAGCAGTTGGTTCTCTTTGAACAGATGCTGGCGACAAGCAAAATGGAGAAAATAATGATCTTTGTTCAGCAAAGTCATCGAACTTCATCTTTAATAATTATATCAATTTAACTTTACCAAGAAAACGAGTACCAAAGGTAAGTTGTGAAGGAAGACTTGCCCTATAAATCTTTCCCTTTTAAAAGGATGAAAACAAACTGTCAGGCTCAGAAATAAGGGTTTCGTATATATATCTATATATATATGTACGTGATATATCCTACTATGAAAAGACCTGTAGGAGGACATTTTACATATTTGAACATATTAAAAAAGTAAAATAAGATTTCACAATAAACAAAGCTTACACATGCGCACTCAATCATGATGTTTTTAAGGACAAAACTGAAGCATTGTCGGTGTCAAATTCCTAAAACATTAATAATAGTCACATTTAAACATTCTCTGTAGATCCAAAATTTTGAATCACAGTGAGAAATTGGGTATACTTGGGGAGAAATCGAAGGCATTGTCAAATGTCAGTCTTCCTCAGTGTAGGTAAAAGTGTGAGGAGGAGGATGTTTTATTTGGTGTGTTTACAAGTTGCTGTTTTCAACTTGAAATATTTTGACATCTTGGCCCTGTTACGTTTATTATCTCTTCTCTTTTATTTCTAGAATTTTTTCAAAAGGTGTTTTTAGGAGGTTTTGTGCAATGCTAGATGCTAAGTTTTTTGGTTTTGGGGAGGGCTTTAGGTGGTTTTTTTTGGTTTTGGGTTATTTTTTTTGAGATGCAAAAGTCTGGAAATTTTCTGGGCTATTTCTACCTTTAAGAAAAATAGTAGTGTAGTTCTGTATCCTTGGAGTCAAATATAAAGCCGTAATACTATATATCAGTTGAAGGAATCACTGGTATGCTAGATTGGTTATTGATTGGGAGGGAGTGCTGGTTTTTAATGAAAGCAGTGATTTGAACAGTTTGTGAATGCTGCCAAGGTGTAGAGCAGTAAGAGATATAAAATAAATGATGTGTGCACAGCACACAACCACAATTGTAAACTTCTTCAACAGGCTGCATACACCTGCTCTGAAATCATGAACAAGCATTTTGTTTTAGGTTTGTTTTTTTTTTTTTTTCCCTGGGTTTTGGGTTGCTTGGGGTTTTGTTTGTTTTTAAACAGATGTGTAACTGTATCATTACATTTATACCTATGCACAGACTCTAAATTTTGCCTGCAAAAGTGCAGGTTTCCTACTTCTTTCAGAGTTCAGTGTCCTTAATAAAAGTTCAGGTACATATGTATGAACTGGATTTCTCAGTATTTTAATGTTCAACCTTCTGCCTGTTCATTAGCTTGGCCCTCTTCTGAAAGGAGACCTGAAGGAGGGGCTTTGCTTTCACAGCCAAGCCTGCCTTCCTTTTAACCTCAATTGAAATGGGGAGTGTCTGCACAACCTGTCTCAGAGGCACCGGTGTCTCCAGCCCAACTGTTGCACATTAACCAGCCCAAGTTAGACAGCAGCATGTACTCCACACCAAAATGAATGTAACCTCTACATTTTTTTGAAACACAGCTTATTGCAAAACTGTTCCATGTTTTGAGTTTCCTGGGCTAGCCAGAAACTGCCTATCTACTACAATGATTCTGAAGTTCTTTCTTTGGTTCTTTACATTGTCTTTTCTGTATGTTTTGGGGTTTTTTTGCCTGAGTTTTGGGTTGCTTGGGGTTTTGTTTGTTTGTTTTTAAACAGACCCTCCTTAATGTGTAACTGTATCATTACATTTATACCTACGCACAGACTCTAAATTTTGCCTGCAAAAGTGCAGATTTCCTACTTCTTTCAGAATTCAGTGTCCTTAATAAAAGTTCAGGTACATAGTATGAATTGGATTTCTCAGTATTTTAATATATTGCTTTTAAAATTTGTTGCTATCTTATCTTCTCAGTTTTGGTAAAAATGTGATTTTTGTTTTATTTTTTTTTTTCCACGTAAAGAATTACTTCAGAATTTCCAGATATTTCCTATACTGGCTTATGTCTTGACTATTTTCAAAAACTGTGGACAGTCCATTGCCCAGTAACCTCATATATCCTTGTTAGGAAATAACTTTTCCCTGCCACCCACTTACACACAAAACCAAGGAACATGTTTCCCAGCTAACTGAGCAGCAAGAAACCAAACAGGCAAAATAAACATTGCTTTTTCTTGCGGGTGACTTCTTTAGAAGAAAAACCTTTTTCATGACCACAATGTTTTTGTTTTTCCATGAGTTATTTGCAGAAGTAAATAGACTTCTAGTAGTGGGGAGAGCTTTCCATTACTAAGCTGTACAGCCCTTTGACTAACCTCCCGTCATGAAATAAGCCTCCTGTCATAACAGGAGGTGTAGTTCTTGGCACTACATGAAAGCATGAGGTGATTTGCTTGACAGGACCCTTTGGTTTCACACTACAGGGGCTCATTTGAAATAAGAAGTGGAAGTGATATTTTCCAAATCAGCTTGGGGAGCGGGACTGTCAAGACCTTGTTTTGTTGAGGCTTTGCAGCCCTGACACAGGCAGGGCGTGAAACTGAGCAAGAAACACAGTGCTCAGGTTAGGACAGAGACTTGAGGGTGCCATAACCACCTGAAACTAACTGGGAAGTGAAGCTCCTCAGAAAGCTTCACTTTCTGAAAGAAAGGGCACTTCTGAAAGAAGGGAAAACTGCTCAAATTATGAGTTTGGCTGTGGCTTCAGTTTTATGGTTCTTTCCCCTGCACAAAGTGGTGCTGGGCCTTATCTAGGTATGACTGTAGGAGAGCACTCACACACCACAGGGTCAAAACCCAGCTAGATTACAGAACACAGTTTACGAAACTTTCTGTACCATCTAGTTTGTCCTTTTCTTTGGCTGGAAAAGGGCCCCTTATCTGGGCGCGGGCTGTGAGAGCCCAGGAAGCAGGGGCCTGGAGCTGGTGTGGCAGTAGCTGTTCTGGCAGCATATGCTGGGCTGGATAATGTTTTCCATTCTCCTATGAGTGTCAGCCAGGCTGGAGAGGAACTGAGATTTCCTGTGCTCCAGACTAATAAATGAATGGAGGTGTTTACACAATAAAGGGCACAGTCTTCTTTCTTGGAGTTTTGCTAGGCAATTAAATTGCTTTGTCTTTCACTTCTTTGTAAATACATTTACGAAAGTCCTTTATGTAAGATTTTTGAAAGGCAGCATCTTGTTTGCTCCATTCACTTAGGCAAATTCTGCTTTTATGTGGTACAGATTATTATGCAGAATACACTGTGCTGTAATGTTGTTTACTCCTCCTTGGTAGACTAATGACTATAGGTAGTGTAAAATTAGATTACTGAGAGCTGGTGCTTGAAAGACAATGTACCAAAGCATACAAAGTAATCAAAATATTGTCATCTGATTCTTTTGGGTTTTGCCCAGGAGTTGTTTGGGATCACTTCTATTCATTGCATAATGATTTATTACAAACAGTGTATATGTAAAAAGGAAGCCTGTATTCTTTGATCTTTCTCTCTTTATTCTTTTTTCTTTTTTTTTTTTTTTTAAATTGGCTGAGCAATCACTAATTTACAGCATTGGCAAATGCAAATAAGCGGAATGTAGTTTATTGTTCATAAAGTATAGTGTAGTATGACATTATCAGACAAAAAAAATCTGTTGTACCAAATCTTCAAGACTGAATTTAATAACTGGTACGAATTTTTAAGCATTGACTATTTTGCAAGTTTGTGTGGACTGAGTATGAAGTATTATTTGTTATTTGTCTAATCTCTAGTTCAGTAAAATAATAAATATGTGCATAACTTGAGCATGAAATAGGCAAATGTACTGTAGTATAAAGCCATAGTCAGGAGGGGAACCTTACAAGGGAGACAGACCTTTAAGGCAGACAGTAATTGCTCCAAAAAAGGAGATATGTCTGCACTGGGAACATAAGATCTGCCTGCAGATATCTAGGTTAAAAGAGAAGTGAAGACTATAGTGAAAGAGTGATGGGTTTCTGGATTTTTTTACTGATCTGGAAACCAGTGTAGTCTGGATTAAAATTCACAGACTAACTGATGCTGTAACGCCTTTTTCTTCAAGGGTGTGCTGGTGCTTTACAAATTATAAACTTTTCAGTGCTGAAAGAGAAGGTGAACACCAACGTTGTATGGCCTGTTGGCCATGCTTGGGTAAATCTGGGAGCTGCTGCAGTGATCTATAGAACTTGTCTTGGCTTTTCCATTTCAGGTTGAAGGGAAAACAGAAGAAAATGAGACTAACAAAAGACGTCGAAAAGGTCTTTTTGGTGTCTTTGAGGAGGTTGGTGTTCAGTCGTGTCCATATCCAGCTTCTTGATGGGCAGCAGGAACTGGGGGGCCAGAGCTTGGCCTCTTGTGCTTGGTGGGAACAAAAAGCCTCTCCCCTTTAAAAGCTTGATTTTACTGTGGTGCGCACTGCAGAAGAGCTAAATTTATTTAAATCATTTGGTAGTGAGGAGAGCACTACCCAAATTGCTCTAGTGTTCTTTCTGACTCAAGAACATTTAAGGAATTGGGTTGGGTTTTTTTTTTCCCTTTTTCCAACTCACTCTAACAAATTTTTGTTTGAAGAGTTTGCATTGCAGCTTGTTTCCTAGCCCCTCTCTGATTAGTTACCTTTGTGACCCTTTTTTATCATCACCACTAGTGATCAATGTTCCCTTCTTACTGTACTCTGGAACCAAAGAAAATATATTTTGGTGAATTTTGCATGTGAAACAGTGTCACATTTAATATATTGTAGGCTGTATTTCCTTTCACCCTTTGCTAATAAGGATGTTATCTCTCTATCTCTCTTCATGAGTGTCATAGCTAAACTCAAGGAAAACATTGTTTATTTTTTCCTCACAGGCTTCAGGCCTTTCAAGCCAAGGGACAAATGCTGGGAAAGAACAGGGTGATGGCAGAGAAGGAACAAACCAGAACAAAGTTAAATCAATGGCAACTCAACTGTTGGCAAAGTTTGAAGAGAATGCTCCAAATACAATTTTTCGGAGGCAGGTAGGTCATAGATGAACATAAAGGTAATCTCTGAAATTAAGCTGTGGTCCCTCCTTGGAAATGTGACACAGATTTCCAAGGGGGAAAAAATGGATGTTACGTGCTTGAATTGTCTTTCACTTCTTTGTAAATACATTTACGAAAGTCCTTTATGTAAGATTTTTGAAAGGCAGCATCTTGTTTGCTCCATTCACTTAGGCAAATTCTGCTTTTATGTGGTACAGATTATTATGCAGAATACACTGTGCTGTAATGTTGTTTACTCCTCCTTGGTAGACTAATGACTATAGGTAGTGTAAAATTAGATTACTGAGAGCTGGTGCTTGAAAGACAATGTACCAAAGCATACAAAGTAATCAAAATATTGTCATCTGATTCTTTTGGGTTTTGCCCAGGAGTTGTTTGGGATCACTTCTATTCATTGCATAATGATTTATTACAAACAGTGTATATGTAAAAAGGAAGCCTGTATTCTTTGATCTTTCTCTCTTTATTCTTTTTTCTTTTTTTTTTTTTTTTAAATTGGCTGAGCAATCACTAATTTACAGCATTGGCAAATGCAAATAAGCGGAATGTAGTTTATTGTTCATAAAGTATAGTGTAGTATGACATTATCAGACAAAAAAAATCTGTTGTACCAAATCTTCAAGACTGAATTTAATAACTGGTACGAATTTTTAAGCATTGACTATTTTGCAAGTTTGTGTGGACTGAGTATGAAGTATTATTTGTTATTTGTCTAATCTCTAGTTCAGTAAAATAATAAATATGTGCATAACTTGAGCATGAAATAGGCAAATGTACTGTAGTATAAAGCCATAGTCAGGAGGGGAACCTTACAAGGGAGACAGACCTTTAAGGCAGACAGTAATTGCTCCAAAAAAGGAGATATGTCTGCACTGGGAACATAAGATCTGCCTGCAGATATCTAGGTTAAAAGAGAAGTGAAGACTATAGTGAAAGAGTGATGGGTTTCTGGATTTTTTTACTGATCTGGAAACCAGTGTAGTCTGGATTAAAATTCACAGACTAACTGATGCTGTAACGCCTTTTTCTTCAAGGGTGTGCTGGTGCTTTACAAATTATAAACTTTTCAGTGCTGAAAGAGAAGGTGAACACCAACGTTGTATGGCCTGTTGGCCATGCTTGGGTAAATCTGGGAGCTGCTGCAGTGATCTATAGAACTTGTCTTGGCTTTTCCATTTCAGGTTGAAGGGAAAACAGAAGAAAATGAGACTAACAAAAGACGTCGAAAAGGTCTTTTTGGTGTCTTTGAGGAGGTTGGTGTTCAGTCGTGTCCATATCCAGCTTCTTGATGGGCAGCAGGAATTGGGGGGCCAGAGCTTGGCCTCTTGTGCTTGGTGGGAACAAAAAGCCTCTCCCCTTTAAAAGCTTGATTTTACTGTGGTGTGCACTGCAGAAGAGCTAAATTTATTTAAATCATTTGGTAGTGAGGAGAGCACTACCTAAATTGCTCTAGTGTTCTTTCTGACTCAAGAACGTTTAAGGAATTGGGTTGTTTTTTTTTTTTTCCCTTTTTCCAACTCACTCTAACAAATTTTTGTTTGAAGAGTTTGCATTGCAGCTTGTTTCCTAGCCCCTCTCTGATTAGTTACCTTTGTGACCCTTTTTTATCATCACCACTAGTGATCAATGTTCCCTTCTTACTGTACTCTGGAACCAAAGACAATATTTTTTTGGTGAATTTTGCATGTGAAACAGTGTCACATTTAATATATTGTAGGCTGTATTTCCTTTCACCCTTTGCTAATAAGGATGTTATCTCTCTTCATGAGTGTCATAGCTAAACTCAAGGAAAACATTGTTTATTTTTTCCTCACAGGCTTCAGGCCTTTCAAGCCAAGGGACAAATGCTGGGAAAGAACAGGGTGATGGCAGAGAAGGAACGAACCAGAACAAAGTTAAATCAATGGCAACTCAACTGTTGGCAAAGTTTGAAGAGAATGCTCCAAATACAATTTTTCGGAGGCAGGTAGGTCATAGATGAACATAAAGGTAATCTCTGAAATTAAGCTGTGGTCCCTCCTTGGAAATGTGACACAGATTTCCAAGGGGAAAAAAATGGATGTTACGTGCTTTAAGTGGGTTGTCTTTTTTTTTTTTTATACTTTATACAAATTGAAGGTATTCCTCTCAATACTTAGGAAGCAAATATGAATAATATAGGTTGAATAATGCATATTAATAGAATGTATTTATATTATATTAATAAAGTATAGTGGAATTGCAATGTCTAGAAATCTCTTGTAGAATTTTTGCTTTGCGTGGAAGTCTAAACTGGTTGCATGTCCTTGGAAATGTGACACAGATTTCCAAGGGGAAAAAAATGGATGTTACGTGCTTTAAGTGGGTTGTCTTTTTTTTTTTTTATACTTTATACAAATTGAAGGTATTCCTCTCAATACTTAGGAAGCAAATATGAATAATATAGGTTGAATAGTGCATATTAATATAACGTATTGATATCTTTTTTTTTTTTTATACTTTATACAAATTGAAGGTATTCCTCTCAATACTTAGGAAGCAAATATGAATAATATAGGTTGAATAATGCATATTAATAGAATGTATTTATATTATATTAATAAAGTATAGTGGAATTGCAATGTCTAGAAATCTCTTGTAGAATTTTTGCTTTGCGTGGAAGTCTAAACTGGTTGCATGTGGTATTGCAGAAGGCCTATTTTTTTTTTTTCTTATATTGTATGAATAAAGGGCACTATATAACCAGTGGAATCCTTCTTTGTGGAAAATTTAAGAAAGTGTAAGAAGGGAACCTAATCTTGTGCAAGATGTGTCTGGCTGCCATTTCCATTCCTAAAGTAGGCATAACGGAATATATTTGTACATTCCACATAATTTTCTTGGTTTGTTGTTAGTGTGACTAGTGGCGTTCTAAAAGTAATCCCGTGCTGTCAAGGTAGAGATGATTAGGTCAAAATAACACTTAAGCCAGTGGGATGGTTTGAGTCAGCTGAGTTTGGATCTGTCACCTAAAAGATCTGAAGGAAGGATGAGCAAAGTGTCGCGGTTCCATCAAAGGTGGTGGCTTTCTTAATTCTTTGTGCTTTTATCCATTAGTTTACTTACATGGTTACGTCCTCCAGAAGTGTAGGCTTTATAGGTGTCAAGTGACTTTCTCTGTCAGAACCAGAGTGCTGTTTGCACTCTGCCTGGCTACTTGTCAAAGCCCTGAGCTTTTTGCACGTGGTATGTGTGGAGAGGTTTGCTTGGCCACGTTGAAGGAAACCTCAATGCGTTACCTTTTGACCATATTCTCTCTTAAAGAATACTGAATGTGCTGACTTTTAAGTATATCTTTGATGGTAGAAGGAGTTAATAAAATGGGTAGGTGACAAAAATGTGCAAAACATGTTGTTAAACTCCACAGTAATGTGTCTTTAAAAGCAGCTTTTATTTCTTTCTGCCTCAAAAGATCTTTGAATCCTATTTACTGTCCTCCTTTCTTTTTTTTTCCCCACTCTGTTTTTATAATGTTAAAAATGCTTTACAAGGAGCTTATAGATAGACCAGCTCTGCTGTCTTCTGACCCTCCTGTTAATCCTCGCTTTGCTAAACCTAAGGATCCAAGTCTTCTTCCACCTCAACCAAAAAGGCAGGTAGGAACTCATATGGGTAACACCTGACAAACACACCATTTCTCGTACTGCTGGGAACTCAGTGTTATTGTGTAACTACGGAATATATAAAACAATATTTAGATTTAATCTGCAGAGTTACCAGATATACTTAGCTGAGAATTGTGAAAACCATATTAAAGCTTAAGGCTATTTTACAGCTGCTTGACCAGATGAGAAAACTATTTGAAAGAATTATTAACTGTGGAAAAACCCCTAAAAACGTAGATGTTGATTTCTGTGTTATCACATCTAGACTATAAATTGTATAAATATAATGACATAGCTACATTTAACATGCATGAAAACTACAGCAGTACCTTAAAATTTGTCCGTGCATGTACTCAAAGCTTTGGGCTGTTGTAATGATAAGGCAAAGGGAGTCTTCCACCCTGAGAAACCTGGCAAAAATGTCTAAGATAAACGATTGAGCATTGAAAACCTGATATTGGTGCTCAAGGTTTTTTATTTCTTTAAGCAGAACTTGTGATAAAAATTTCTGTTGAAAGCTCTTTTGCAATGTCATATGCGTGGGGCAAAATTTTTGAATACGTTGCCTAAATTTTTCTCATGGTACTTCCAGTGAAAGCAATCTCATATCAAAGAGTACTGATGTTCACTTTACATGAGAGTTTTAAATGGAAGTAAATATCCCGTAGTGGCATTTCAAGAGCAGTCTGCAGTGAAATGAGATCTGCATTGTTTGTAGAAATCTGGAGATCAGCTTGATGAAAAATGTAGATTCATAAACTGGTTGAGAATGGTTGTTTTACAGGCAGGTGTTCCATCCTGAAACATCAGGAGCATACTGAAGTTGATTGGCATTAGGTTTTTTTCATTTTAATTCTGAGAAATTTGGAAAGTTTGTGTATTCATTTGAATTGGACAGATATGTTAACGTAGAAAACTGTCATGAAAAGACCAGCTTGGAAAGTCATTTTTAAGACTGAATTTGATTAAGCTGAACTGGTTCAAATGTTTCATTTACTTCAGAACCTATTTTATATGAAGATTCAAATTCAGAGACTCCTCAGAAAACACTTCACATCTGAAATACATTATAGCTTGACTTCGGTCAGATTAGATCCAGAATTATGCCAAGAACTACTATTGATATTCTTACAATTTGTTTGTAAGTTTAGTTTGAGGCAGATGTGATGCTAAAAAAATGAACACTAAAACCTTTACTAAAAACCCTAAAAAGAGGTATAGTGTCATGTTCTTCTGCACTGATGCTGTCTGGGGTTATTCATTAAAACTCACACAAACCTGAAGAAGGATGTCAAGACCTGCATAAACTATGTAGGACTGATTTATTTTAGTGCATGGACACAAGCATCAGAGATACAGTAGACAGTGTGCAAAGAGTGATGTGAGAACATTCTATTTCTAGTTATGTGCATGACTGTGCTGCGCTTTTGGAAGCATCCTTGAAAGCTGCATATACTGCATGGTAGTGCAGAAAGCAGATTTTTTTTCACTTCAAGTGTTTCCCAGTTTCAGGTGGTAGCTAGGAGTGAACACGAGGTCAGGGAACCCAAACAGTCTTTAAATGGTTCTGATCATGTGGCCAGGAGAGCAAAGACTGTACAAAAAACAGATCCCCAGCCCAGTCTGTCAGAAACCTCTGAAAATCTCGCATCTGCCTGTTCTGCTGCATTTGTCCTTTCTGGAGTGCTTGAGCGTCTTCAGCACCTGGAGGAAAAAATGAAACAGGTGACAAGCAATTTATTTTACTTTCTGTCTCTTAACTGCCTGTGCAAATCTCTATTCTGTATTTTCCCTAGATATGCTGGCTTTTTCTCTGTTGACTTTAGGTTATATTAAGACCAAAAAAAGTCTTTCTACGAACTTGCTATAATTCTGCTGATGTATGTGACATTAACCGAAATCTCTCTCTCTCTCTTTTCTTGACTTTCCTTCCCTGGCTCTTATTGCAGAAAAGAGCTCAGACCATAGCAAATAGGGAATTCCATAAAAAGAACATTAAAGAGAAAGCAGCACACCTTGCCTCAATGTTTGGATACGTGGATTTTCCAAAGGTGAATATTAGGTTTTGCTCCTGAAGAAGTGCTAAGATAGAAGACATATCAGAATTCATGGGAGGGGGAAAAATTGCAGTGGTTTTGTTTTTAGCTTTCCTTTTATCCTCTGTGGATCCATAAAGTAATGTGGGTTCCACTGAAACTGGTAAAAAAGCTTTGTTTAAATATTATTGCATCATTTAATTGAGGTAAAACACAATCTAAATTATATAGCTAGTAGGAATACTAGCTATATAACTCACAGTTTCTAATTAATTGCTCTTAGTGCAATATGGAATTTCTTATGTTTCGTTATGTTTTCTCCCAGCATTATCTTATCTTGCTGCCCCTTGTAAATATTTTTTATAAGAAAAATTAGTACAATAATATCATTTGCTGTGAAGGTTTTCCCGTGATTTCCACGGCTCCTCACTGTGCAGAAATAGAGAAAAGAGCAGGATTGTAGTTATTATCTTTCTGGTTTTTTGATGCATGACTGTGAAATTATTCTCTTAACCTTTCCTAATGTCACTGTCTCTTGGATAACTCTCCTGTTTCTGCTCTACACAGAATAAACTACCTACTAAAGGCTTTTCCCATTCTCAGCCCCCAACTCCCTCTTGCCCTCATGATTCAGCTGCTGCCTCTTCTCCATCATCAGTTGGTTCAGCTTCCCCTGCTGTTCCTTCTAGACAGGTACTACTATTAACACGTTTTTCCTGTAAAATCCAAACTAGCACTACGGCTGCTTGAGAAATGGCTTGGATGGAAGGCGCTGCCAGCAGATCTGTTGTATTTCACATTTGAATCAAACTTTACTTTGTTCACTGTTGTTAATTCTGCATGTTTGTAAGAGGAAAGGCATCGTCAAAAATAGTTCAGGTATAAAGCTGAAGAACAAAGCAAATAGTTAACAAAGTTTTTGTTTCAATCTGAAAATTTTACACTGCTGCTTATTTTAATTGTTCTATTGTTGGATAATACCACAGACATGCCTAGCAGAGAAAAAGCTTCCCATTGTACAGCCAACTGGATGTGATGGGATCAATCAGTTGTTCTTGTGTGGCATTTGTGTTTCTTTTTATAAGAATATCCATCTGGACTGCAGGGGAGAACCTGCACCATAATGGGGTTTTAACTAGAGGACGTCTTAGAATTATATGAGCACTTGTCGAGACAGACAGATTTTACTGTTGTTTGTTTACTTATTTCTACCTTAAACTTGCTTCTGCATATTAATTGTTAGAATTCAGTTCTTTGTAACAGCAAACTTTAGAGAGAGGAAATATGCATACTCTGAAGGTGGTTAGATAACACTTGAACTGGAGATACTCAGCTCTTGTTACTGTGCTGATGTCACAGTGCACTGTGCTTTCATCTCTGGAAGATGATATTGGCTTCTACCTCCCCTTGTTTTAGAAGGATATTAATTGAAGAAAGTTTGGTATTTTTCAGCTTGGGACAGGTAAAGGCCTGGGTTTCCTTTCCATCACACACAGATTAGGGAGCAGCAGTCTGGAAGCATTGCGATATTGAATAGGGTGGTGTGGAAATAAAGCTGGAAACACCAAGTTTCTAGAAGTAGTGAAGGTGGCTGCTGTGACCCAATGCAGGTGCTAAAGCTGGAAACACCAAGTTTCTAGAAGTATTGAAGGTGGCTGCTGTGACCCCATGCTGGAGCGGGCAGATCTGCTGCCTGACACATGGAAGAAGTGCTATTTGGCAAAATGGGTATGGTCTTTGAGGCCCGTTCTCTGGTTGAGACGGAGCTGTGTTGAAAAGCCTCCCTTGCGCTCAGCCCCCAGGAAAATGTAGGCTACACTGCCTTTCAAGGACACTGCAAGCCCAGCAGGTGCCTTACTGTGGTAATCCCCTAATTCCCTTCAGCTTCAAAATAATTCCTTTGCCTGGATTTACCTCTTACTTTTTATGACCTAGGAGGTATAGCATGTGATGGGTTTTAAGCTAAGCAGTGGTTTCCAAAATATCAAAGGACTGTTGCTCATTTGATTTGGAGAGCTGTTGTGACACTGCAAAGAGAATAAAAGTAAAGCCAAAGAACTATGTGAACAACAGCTCATAATCATACGGAAACTGTGAGTGATAATTTAACTAGGATTTTAATTATTTTTTTTCTTAGAGAACATTTAACCTGAGCAATCATTCCTGTATGTTTAAATTCAACTGCATTTTGATTAAGCCATTTATTAGTTTGCCATTGTATTTAAATGGTGTAGCAGTAGTTTGTTGTGACTTGATTTCACTCGGTCCGAGTTGAGTTTAATTGAAAATGATCTCTCCAAAGGTAATGGCACAGATTCAGCATAGCTGAGGCAAGAAAATCTTGTTCTGTCATCAGCACAATAAATACACGTTTGTCTCATTTGGTAAATATTTGGCTGGTTAGGTAGGACTAAGTGAAGTGGATGCTCCCTTAGGGACAGGGGATGGACTCAATGTCTTTTTGGATCTCTGTCTGGGACCGTTATTTACGTTGGTGATGTGCTGGTGAAGTGTCAATGGATGTGCAACACTTCTGCTCTCCATACTATTCAAGTACCATGAGGTCGACTTAGTCCTGTGATACCCCTGTTACTTAGCTTTACCTCTCTTTGGCAACTTAAGTTCTGTCCCTCTTCAAGCCACGTTTTGGCTTGCCTTTTGTTATTTCTCAAGCAGAATTTTTCCAAGAAGCAGATTTCTTACTGCTGTTTTTACTGTATTAAGTATTAAATTTTCTGGGAACACCTGCTGAAGCCTTGATTTAATAACAAGCAATCTGTCCGTGCCCGTCCATGGTTAAATTGTTGTCCCCATCCATGTTTTATCTTTTAAGATTGCACACTTTTCAGAACATGAAAATTTTATCATACTCTATAAAACACTGGCTACATGTGCAGCACTATCTAAGTAAAATTTGATAATATTTCAGGTGTGCAGTGCACATTTTCAAGTACTGGGCATGATAATTTAACAACATGTGTCTCTGCTGTGAATATGTAACAGTAATGGCCTGTGTGTGTGTTATCTCGAGGGTGAGATTGTAGGACTCAGAATTTGTATTTCTAGTCTCTGTTCTGAGAGATACCAGTAGGTAAGTCTAGACTTCAGTATGGAAAAGGCCTTCAGGACTGGTAAGCCAACAGCAAGCGCTCTGTCATGTCACACTCAGTGTTTCTGGTTTTTCCCAGCAGAAAACCAGAAGATAAAAGAAGTCTTTTAAGTTTTGTAAGACTTCATGAGACATGACCTGTAAATATCAGCATCCTCTTTTAATAGTTTTAACTTTTAAATAGTTAGTACTGTCATTTTAATTTCAAGTGAGTACTGAAATTGTTATCAGACATAATGATCCTTTACAGCTGTTGAATTTTCATTGGAACAGTATTAGTTATGGTGGCACATTTATTGAAAATGGTGGCTAACAAAGCATGCTGTCTTATTACAGAAACCTGTCATTAAGCCTCAGTCCTAAAAGGAGCACTTGAAAGGAGGGCTATGGAAGCATATTGTTTCTTTCAAAGACATACAGTCATTACAACTTATTAAGAATTAACTTCTATATGACAGACATGCAAGTTGCCAGTAATAATCAAAATTACCTTCTAGCTTTAATCATCTGTCAAAATTCACATAGGTAGGATTACGAATTAACAAATATTACATTACAGGCTGGGCTTTGGTTATTCCTGTTTTCTGTTGAAAGTTGGATTGACCTTCAGAAAACGGCGTTCACCTGAGCTTTGCATGAGTGAATCCACAGTAGGTCGTAAGAGCTATGAAGATGTTGCAATCAATAGGCTTTGCTGCCTGCAGAGTTTGGACCAACTACTTCCCTTCAGTGACGGGACTCTAATTACCAGGAGTAAACAGGGCTTGGGTGTTTCCTACACGTAGTAACTTATTACTCTAATGTTGTTTATCTCAGAAGTAAAATATATGTAGCAGGTGGTACCAGAAGTGAATAAATCGCTCCCAAAGCAAAATACGATCAGGAAAATCATTAAGGATGTGAAACAACAAAGGGGAAGCATTGTATGTGTTTGGAGGTAGAGAGCATATTTCCTTTGTTTTATGAAAATACTGCTGAGGCTTATTAGGTGGTTGGCTGCGGCGTTATAAACAATAGCACAGGGAAATACAGAAGGCAGCTTTCTCTCCCCACGTTAACCACCCTGACCAACCTGCTGCAAAGCTTTGGCGACCTGTCATCGACAGGTCAATAGTCACTAAATCACACTTGAGCTTTTTTTTAAGTGTTTTCTTGCTTGTTTTTCTGAAATTCATCATGATGAATTCATTAAGATTTCCTTTTCAACAAAGGATTTAAAGCTACTGGTATAAACCTACCCGAATTGTGAGCAGTAGCCTGTTACATATTGATGGTGGGCCCAGCACTACAAAATTGCATGTGTGTGGGGGACTTCACGTACACGGTAGCCTCAAGGGTACGAGCAAAATATAAAACCTCTTAGGTATATGCTGAGTTTCTAGGGTGCACAGGCAGCATCAAGCAGGCAGAGATTTGTGTGCTGTTAACCAAAGCTAAGCCATGTAAGAGCTCTAAAGGAATGTGTGTAGATTTGGGGTCAGTGGAGTTTTTTACATTTACACAATTAAATGGGTGAGGGTGTTACTGAGGTCATTGTCCATAAGCAGGGTGAGATTTAGAGGAGACACAGGGGGTTGGCTGCACAGTCGTGCTGCTGTTGTATGAGGGCAGAAGTCATAAGTCTTGTAGGGCAGCACTGCTCTTGCACGCCCTGTCCCTACCATTCTTCATGGGTTTCTGATGGTGGCAGGTGCTCCTGGGCCTGCTCAGGTGGATGCTTGTCCTACCATGGTATTTCTGTTTTGTGATTGAATTATATTTGCATAGAATAGAGTATTTCACTCGGAAGGGACCTAGAATGATCTAGTCCCACTGCCTGACCAACTCAGGGCTGACCAAAAGTTAAAGCATGATATTAAGGGCATTGTCCAAATGCCTCTTAAACACTGACAGGCTTGGGACATCAACCACCTCTCTATGAAGCCTGTTCCAGTGTTTGACCATCCTCTTGGTAAAGAAATGTTTCCTAATATCCATCCTCTTGGTAAAGAAATGTTTCCTAATGTTCAGTCTGAACCTCCCCAGGTGCAGCTTTGAAGCATTTCCACGTGTCCAGGGCAGGACACAGTGGGACAGTTGCCCTTTTCACCAGCTGGTTATGCCGTGTTTGATGCACCCCAGGATGTGGTTTGCCCTCTTGGCTGCCAGGGACACTCTTGGCTCATACTGAGCCTGCTGTCGACCAGCAACCCAAGATGCCTTTCTGCAGGGCTCCTCTCCAGCCACTCCTCTCCCCAGTTATACTTGTGCCTAGTGTTACTCTGTCCTAGGTGCAGAATTCAGCATCTGGACTTGTTCATTTTCGTCCCATTAATCATTTCCCAGTGTCCCAGTCTATCTAGATCTATCTGAAAGGTGTAGTACTGAGGCTGTAGCAAATTAATCTCCTCTTGACTACCCACATATCCGATTCAGTAAGGAGAACTGGTAGAGATCTTTCTCCAGTAATAGGTCCTTATTGAATAGTTTTTCTAAAATGAGATCTAATCAGTCCTCCAGTCCACTTGCTTCCTGCCCTCCCCGCTGGTGAATAGCATCAATGTTTGTGTTGGTGGTTGTTGACTGGGTGATGAGAGCAATCAGCAATCTTCTGGTCGCTAGATTAAATTGAAATCCCATTTGCTTTTACAGGGAATATAAATTCAGGTTCATTACAAGAACATTTCCTTTTAATAACATTTTTTAAAGTACATATAAACATGCAGTTTTCTTGTTTTGACTGCTTTAATGTTGACACAGATTCCTCAAGTGGGTGGAGAACAGAAATCAACCGACCTGATGAATTGCAAGGTGTAGTTCAGGCTCAAGGATACTTTTCCTGAAATTCAACTACTTGCACTTTAACCATAGCCTTATTGTTTAAGTAGTTCAAGGTAAACTTTCTGCTTCAACTGACTTTGAATGCTTCCTTTTACCTGGGGGATCATGGGTAATGAGTTGTATGTAGCCTAAAAGTTGCTCAGCATACTCAGAAGCGCAGAATTTGGGGAGGAAAATTTTGTCTTCTGTGATCTTAAACAATACAAATGAACTTAGTTTTCCTGTAGTATCAAGTAATATCACTTCTAATATTGGTTTATAATTTAATGTACCACTTAGGACAGCACTGCAGTATTTAAATAAGAGTTTACTTTGCTGTGGTTACCCCACACTTTGTGCAGATACTGAAAAATATTTAAAAGTCTTTTCATATTAAACAAAGTGAAGCAGTACGGAAATTTGTCCCTTGAATGACCTTTGTCATCTTAACATACATATTTTGTATTTGCCTGGATATTAAGTTAATTATGGGATAACTCTCAAAAGATAAGGGGAGCTCTAAGGGCCTGGACATGTTCTCAAGTTCCTGAATTTGGCCTTTTTTTTTTATCCATCGTAATTCTTGAAAACACACCCAAAATGCCTTATGGTTGCTTTTAATCTTGATAGAAAATGCTTTTAAATTATTTTAAAGTATTATGAATACCACCACTTTTATATTTCTTTCCTTTCTCTGTGGTAACTTTCTGATATTTTAAAGCCTTTCTGTTAGTAGGACTTGCTGTGGTGGCAGTAGAAAAATCATTTATCTGATAAGTGTGGGACTTAATACTTGGGCTCTGTGGGAGGCAAATGGAGTGTAAGATCGTGGATTCTCTAGGGGGAAAAAATCCCGGCTTCAGAAACAGAGTATCAGATCCCTCGTTATACCAAGATGGCCCTTCCTGCCTTTGCCACCAGAGATGTTGTAAGATCTTAGACTATAAAATCAAAATGACTACAAGAAATTTGGTTTAGGGTAGAAAATACTACTGTAAATCTATGAAGTCTTCACAGCCTTTTTTCCAGGAACAGAGAACTAGAGTACGTGCCTGCCACTCACCCACATGCCCACACACACACCCAGTACGTGCCTGCCACTCACCCACATGCCCATACACACACACACCTCCCTTTCTTCTTTTCCAGTCCCCAGGGATGGGTTTTGGCCAGGAAGCCTGTACCATGCAGGCAATGGTCTGGCTGTGATACGTTTGGAGCCCCAGCTTAAGGAACAGCAGTCTGCTTGCAGGCCTGTCTGTGGGTAGGTTTGGTTAGAAACAGCCTAATATTCATGGCTGCCATAGTGTGATGAAGCAGATTAAAGGAGATGTCTTCCTTTCATGAGCGTAGCTTCTCCATTTTTCCGTGGCGTTGAGGTGAGTCACTGGGGAGAGGCAGAATGGTTGCTCTGTGAGCATCAACAAAACATTTCCATGTGGGACTTCTAGTATGCTTTCATAGAATGTTTCCTGAAGTGCCACAGTTTGTGGTCCATTAATGTAAAGTTTAGTACCCACCTCTTGTTCTGAAATACGACAACAAAGTCCTAAGAAGTCAAAGTGAACAATAGGGGGGTTTTAATCTATTGGAATGGTCCAACCCTGATAGTCAGGCAGTAGCTCCCAGCTCAGGCTCTCCATGGACATGCTGGGAGGCCTTGTGCTGTGGGAGCAGCATTTGCTCCCAGCAGCTATTTCTCCATTGTCTGCAGGGACAAGTGTGTGGGCTGCATGGAAGCCTGCTGTGGCCACTAGCTGGACCACGCTGATCGTGCATGAACATGCTTGTTGCTGTGCTAGACTTCGCCTCTGCTCCTCCTCCTAGCTTCTCTTTATTATTGTTTGCATGTTTTCAAACCATTCTTGTCCTTTTCTCATTAAATTCATTTTTCAGAATAACTAAAGCTCTTCCTTCTATTCTTCATCTTCTCCCCTTTTCTGGTTAGATGACTGTAGGGAAGGTCTCACGTGCAATTGGAGCTGTGGCTGAAGTTCTTGTCAATCTGTATGTGAATGATCACAGACCCAAGCCACAGCTTCCCCCCCTTGAACTGGTAAGGCTAAACCCATGAAGAAACAATAACTTGAGTGGTGTTTCCAGAACGTCATCACAACTTAAGACCCTGGTTGTGGAGCACTTTAAGCATTATGGAAGGTCTTGGCTTAACAACTACTAAGGAGTCATGTGCATATTGGCAAAATATGCTGATGCGGGGATATGCTGGAAAAGTTGCTCACCGTGTTTTCTATTTATATTTTTATAAGTTGTCTGCATGAATTAAATCTTCAGGAGGCTTTATTAAATGTAATTACTAGTACAATTAGTAACAGAAGACGTTTCTTAATCAGGGTGGCTTCTAAGGAAAGTTTTGTACAGTACATGTTTGTGCAGTTATTTTTAACTCTCAAGTGCTGCATCACCGTGCCTCGTTTGGGAGAGAGCTGTTTTTAAACTCTGACACTGTTCTGTGTTGAATTCAGCAGCGGTCTCTGGAGAGTGCTACAGGTTCTTGCCCCGTTCCTCATTCTCCATCTCCTGCCTCCACTGCTCAGAGCTGTCAGGTATTGGGAAGTGAAGTAAGGTGTGGTGATGACACTTACTTATTAGCCAACACTAAACTCAGTTGTTTCTGCTTCCTTGTAACTATCTGTTCTATTAACATCATCTTTTTAAAAATACATCTGTATGTTTATCCATTTGCATGGCTGATCATTTGGAAAGTTTCACGCTCCGAAATGATCCATCACAGCAGAATGGATTACTAATGGCAGATCTGGAATAGGATTCTCAACTTTTAGGCACAAGACAATGTGACAATGACAATTGTGGTTTGCACTTAACATTAAAAAAAGCTGTTGCAAGGCTGCCTTTTACTGGCAAATTAAAGATGAGTTGTGTGGACTGTGTGCTGTGGTCTGAATGTTCCTGGACTCTGCCAGGCCTGTGCCTCCTCTGTCCCATGCGTGGTACCTCTCCTGGGGCAGCAGGGATGTGGAAAGGGAAGGGAGGTGGTGATGGCTGTGGTAGGGACAGGATGCTCATCTGTACCCATCTATAACTAAGCATAATACAATGATGCAAAGTAACATCCTCATACCTGCCTCTAACAAGGCAAGCTCAATAGCATCTAGTCCATTTTATAATTTATTTTTCTCTACCTTTTGTGTGTATATCTGGAGAAGATGGGATGTGTGGCAATTAGAATGTTAATTGCCAGCCCAAATGCAACAACAACTTTCAAAAGAGTTCCAGTTTGTTAATATGGATCATAATTAAAGTTCAATGAGTTAAAAATATTCTGAATGTCAGTGGTAGGAATTAAATTGATTTTTTTCAAAACAAACCAAGCACAGCTTGGAACACAGTTGAGAGTGAAAGCACATCTGCAGTGATGTAAATGGTAGTTCAGCCACCAGCATCAAACACTGACAGTTCTTCTTCCTGGATCTTAAAGCATGAGCCTACCTTTTCCTCCAGAGTGTGTATGAACTGAGTTTCCAGGGTATCTGTTTTCTTAGTTCCAAATGCATGTCTGTTGTTTGAGGCTGATGAGGTCTGCCTTTGCCTTCTTCTGGGAAACACCGATGCCCACAGCCGTGAGATCCGCGTGCCCGCGCCGGTGCGGTGCGGGGTCAGAAACCAGCAGTTGGGGCTGATGCTGCTTTGGTACCGGAGTAAACACAAAATGTTGGTGAACTCCCAGAGGGAAGCTGGATGCAAGTCTAACTGAAAACTTACCCCTTAAAGTCCTTGTGATGTCTGATTTATGAAATGCTGCGTAAACATACAGAATCACAGCAAATGAGTAATAAAAAAGCTTACTGATGCTTATTTTAATTGTGTGTGGAGGGTGCTGTGTAAAACTTCAAGCAGCTGAAGCAGCTGCCCACTTAATAAGAATTTATGTCTGGGTGTAGTGCAACAGCTTTATGTACATTTCTTTTTTTTTAATCTTTTAACAGGGATCTCTGCGAAAAGAATTTCCTCAGTCTATTGGCGGGAGTGACATTTGTTATTTCTGCAAAAAACGGGTATATGTCATGGAGCGGCTGAGTGCAGAAGGCCACTTCTTTCATAGGGAGTGCTTCAAGTGTGAAATATGTTCTACAACACTCCGTTTAGGAATTTATGCCTTTGATGTTGAAGAAGGTAATATAGGAGCTATTTAAAAATATTTTAAAATGTCTTGAGTATTGACGCTTTTAATGGAACTAGGGAAAAAGAACTGGCTGAGAGGCTCGGTCAGGAGGAGGTCTGCCAAGTATGTTGTTTGCCTCTATGCTGATCTTTGAGTCCTTGTACTTGTAGTTCTAGTCTTTCAGAAGAATCCATTTATGACAGACCTGAGCTTTAAACGAAGAAATCCTCAGTGGAAAATAAGTTGAATGAACAAAATGCAGTTTGTCCAGTTGCAGGTCAAAACAGGGGAAGGAGGGAAAGGTGACTTCTCTCCAACAATACAGAATTATTTTCATCGCTCATTTATAACTGGCCATTAAATAACTTGATCTGTAAAGATAAGCCATGAAAGTGGCAGATTTACATGGAGAGGGGGAATATAGGTTATTTCTTTCAAGATATAATGGCTCCTGAGTTTCCAGGGTATCTGTTTTCTTAGTTCCAAATGCATGTCTGTTGTTTGAGGCTGATGAGGTCTGCCTTTGCCTTCTTCTGGGAAACACCGATGCCCACAGCCGTGAGATCCGCGTGCCCGCGCCGGTGCGGTGCGGGGTCAGAAACCAGCAGTTGGGGCTGATGCTGCTTTGGTACCTGAGTAAACACAAAATGTTGGTGAACTCCCAGAGGGAAGCTGGATGCAAGTCTAACTGAAAACTTACCCCTTAAAGTCCTTGTGATGTCTGATTTATGAAATGCTGCGTAAACATACAGAATCACAGCAAATGAGTAATAAAAAAGCTTACTGATGCTTATTTTAATTGTGTGTGGAGGGTGCTGTGTAAAACTTCAAGCAGCTGAAGCAGCTGCCCACTTAATAAGAATTTATGTCTGGGTGTAGTGCAACAGCTTTATGTACATTTCTTTTTTTTTATCCTTTAACAGGGATCTCTGAGAAAAGAATTTCCTCAGTCTATTGGAGGGAGTGACATTTGTTATTTCTGCAAAAAACGGGTATATGTCATGGAGCGGCTGAGTGCAGAAGGCCACTTCTTTCATAGGGAGTGCTTCAAGTGTGAAATATGTTCTACAACACTCCGTTTAGGAATTTATGCCTTTGATGTTGAAGAAGGTAATATAGGAGCTATTTAAAAATATTTTAAAATGTCTTGAGTATTGACGCTTTTAATGGAACTAGGGAAAAAGAACTGGCTGAGAGGCTCGGTCAGGAGGAGGTCTGCCAAGTATGTTGTTTGCCTCTATGCTGATCTTTGAGTCCTTGTACTTGTAGTTCTAGTCTTTCAGAAGAATCCATTTATGACAGACCTGAGCTTTAAACGAAGAAATCCTCAGTGGAAAATAAGTTGAATGAACAAAATGCAGTTTGTCCAGTTGCAGGTCAAAACAGGGGAAGGGGGGAAAGGTGACTTTTCTCCAACAATACAGAATTATTTTCATCGCTCATTTATAACTGGCCATTAAATAACTTGATCTGTAAAGATAAGCCATGAAAGTGGCAGATTTACATGGAGAGGGGGAATATAGGTTATTTCTTTCAAGATATAATGGCTCAGGAGCTGAAAGCAGCAGTACTGGCCAAGCAGCAGTGTAATTTATTCCAGTCTGCCGTAGAATGGAAGGTTCAGATCTTGGGCACTCAGTCCCACCGACAGCTTGGAGTTTGAAGGTGGGGAAATATTTTTTGCCTTTTTTTCTTTTTCTTTTTACTTTAGAGAGAAATTATTAAACTGACTTGAAACTCTTTTGTCACTTCCAAATGATTTGAGTAGATTGGAGTGTTAACGTGGTCTCCTTCTACAAAAGGATATAAGACTCAAGGCCAGAGGTGGTTCTTTTGCAGTCCAGAGAATCTTCTGCAAAGAGGTTTTTGAACTGATTATTTGACTCTTTGCTGCTTGATGTTTGTGACTTGGTAGAATCTTTTTTTTTATTCTTATATTTATTAATCTTAAAACCTATGTGGTAGATAAATGACCTTGCTTTATCTAACAAATGTGCAAATCTGCATACTGCAAAAGTAACCCATTCAGAACTGTGAGCTATGGAGAGTCAGTGGCAAACTTCCCATTCCTCTTGCTGGCCAGCCATTAATTATCTTGATTTCATCTTTTTATAGATGCAGCAGTGGGGTTTCAGTCCATAGACGCATAGATAGAATATCATATAACTTATTTTTTCCTCTTGTAGGTAAATTTTACTGTAAACCTCATTTTACTCACTGCAAAATCAGTAGCAAACACAGAAAGAGGAGAGCAACGTTACAGATCCAGGGAAAGGTACGTGTTGGTTGTGTTACTAATGCAGGGAATGCTGAGGCAGCTTTATCTGGAGCAGGGTGCAGTACTTGTGTCTTTGTGCAAGATGTTTGCTGCTCGGTGTCCAGAAGTTGTAAAATCAATACTAAAATATAAGCTCCTGGTTCTGTAAAGCTGGCATATTTCTCTGGAGACATTCAAACCCACCTGGACACGTTCCTGTGGGACCTGCTTTGGGTGGCCCTGCTTTGGCAGGGGGTTGGACTAGATGATCTCCAGAGGTCCCTTCCAACCCCATGTGATTCTGTGATCCTGTGATCCTGTATTTATAGTCTGGTTGATACTGGAAAGTAGCTTTTATTGTAGAAAGTAAAACAAAACTTAAGAGCAATTGAAAATGACAATATACATAAAAACTTGAAAACAGTAACAGGAACTGGGCTTTCCAGTTTTAGAAGTGTATTTAACTTTTTTTTTTTTTTTTGAAAACAGTAACAGGAACTGGGCTTTCCAATTTTTAGAAGTGTGTGTAACTTTTCTTTTTTTTTTAAAATGCTTTCTGTAAGGAGGCAACAGAAGCATGGAAGAAAGAGGAACCCAAACACCCAGAGACCACCACAGAAAGCACTTTGTCTACTGCTAGCAGTCCAGAGGACAGGTCCCCAGGTATCCTGACTTCCTTCTTTAGGGGCACGCTAAGCTGGCCCCTTCGGGTGACAAGGGATCTGCTTGACATTCCCAGACGCCTGTCTAACTGGATGCATGGGTTTCTGCACGCTACCAATCTCCATTTCAGGGACAATGCATATAACTATACCTACTTGTACGAACTCTTGAGCCTTGGTGTGCCATTCCTCTGTGCTCTTCTAGAGGTACTTACTCACATGTACCGGGAAGCAGAGCTATCACTTGAAAACGTGCTTGAATGGGTGAAAAGATTCTATAGGGTTTAAATTCTTCTATGTGTCTTGCTCAGTTGTGCCTTTCAGATTTTCAAAATTAACAGCCTCACAGTTTTCCTGAGGTTTTTTTTTTTGTGGTTTTTTTTTCACTTTTCATACAATTTAATATGTGACTTAAATGAACGGTGGATTCCTTCTGATATAAATGAGGTGCAATCAAAATTTTCAATATAAAATGTACTGTATGTCAGAGCATGAAGGACAGTGTCCAGACACATTTCCAGAACACAGAGACAGATGAAGGATGTTTTGTAGATTTCCCTCTCCCCGCCCCATTTTATCCTGTCTGTGATCAGACCATTGAGGGGCTGATACATTTTAAACCATTCTTCTCCCTGGCCCTCTCCCTCCACACCTCTTTGGTTTTTTGTTTGGTTTTTTTTTTTTTCTCTCTGTTAGACCAAGAAAGAATGTGCATTCTTTCAGATGTTTGTGGAATATTTATGACAAATGACTGGGTTTTGAAACCTGAACATGGCGCATACCTTTATTTTTTCTTGCTTTCATCTTTGCTCTGGGTTATGAGGTTTATAACTTGCATGAATGTGTTTTGAAAAAAAAAAATAATCATGTACTTAATTCACATTGCTCCTAGTCATGCCTTTTACATTTCTTACATGTGATAGATACCCTTTGTTGATAGTGGGTATAACCTGTACTACTAAGTTTTGAAATAAATTTGGAGAGCAAATCTTAGTTGAGTGAAGGCTTGATTGAAACTATAAGTCAAAGGAACTGGTAGCGTTGACTTACTCCTTGAGTCAAGGCTTCCTCATTAGGTGGCTGATTTGAAGAATACCAAGTTATGGAGCACTCACCTGAGTGAAATCACTGCTGTTATGTCCCTGGGTAGGCACTGCTCCTATTGTCTTTTGGAATTTTTTAAAAATGCAAGTTTAGAACAAACGACAAAAGCTGCTCCTATTGTCTTTTGGAATTTTTTAAAAAATGCAAGTTTAGAACCAATGACAAAAGCCTACAAATGTATTCTAAGAAGATGACTTCTTAGCTGGGTATTTCATTCGTTTCAATGTATAAAGCTGACAGTAGAAAAGTGAAATTCTATAACCTGGAGCAGCTGTTAAGTAAATTTCTTTCAGATGTTTCTCAACAAGATCTACCTTAATCAGAAGGTGTTGGGACAGGTTAAATAAGCTATTTAACAGCAAGGAGACACCAACATCCCAAATTCTGATTTACTGTCAACCTAGTTAGCCAGTGAGGTAAGCATGCTCCCTGCCTTTCAGGTATTGCAATGTTTAAATTCAGAAGTTAACCAGGAAATAGGTAAATACATAAACATGGTAATATGTATAGCCTAAAATTAAAAGAATCTGTAGCATTTATTTCTAGCCAAAAGAATGTGGCTTAAAAAATAGGAAATAATGTCACATTGGATTAGTACCAAAGTTGAAGATCACCTTCCAGTGGTCTTAAATTACTGTGCTGCCTATGGGCTGGCAGTTTTTTGATTTTAACATAATGTGGGAAAAGATGATTTGAATTGTTTTGTTTCTAGGGTATAAAAAGGAAATGTGTCTTCTCTGTAAAATAAATGACAAACTGGATTTTTCTTCTAGATAGTTTGACTTCCTTTAAACCATGAGGATAAAGCTTTTCACATTTTAGAGTGCTTATGTATTTTGGGGAAAAAATGTTAAGTATATGTACAGAACTTGAAAAAGTGCTTAAAGAATATTGTTTAGGTATATGGTAGCATCCATTTGAAATAAATTGCCATTGATTCTTAAATGTATTCAGAAAAACTTTGCTAGAATATTGACTGGACACAATGACAGTTATAGTAACACGGTGGGCATCTGTACATATGTAAAGAAACGTATCTGTACCTTTTTCATAGCATTTTAAAAAAATATTTTGAAACACTATACTTTTTAATTATTTGCTAATGAAAGTAAAAAAACCAAAACAAACATCTGCAGTGTGATTTACCATCTTACTCCTGCAACACAGCAACCTGCTAAGTGGCAGACTTTCAAAATTTGGCTTGCTATCAATTTTTATTTCAGTTTGTCAACAGCACAGTCTTTAGAAACATTTTCTCCTGCTGTTTACTACAGGTAATTTTCTGCTTTTCAGCAGAGTGAGCATAACTTGCAGAAAATAGCGATATAGTAAGAAACTTGGAAGTCCCTGATGTCCAATGAATTTAAAACAATTGAATCTTATTAGTAGAAAGTTTAAAAAAATAAAATAAATAACATTCCCACAACAAAATTCAGGCACTTGCATAATGAAAACATTTTCCTGAGGAGTCTTAATTACATGCCTATTCCACTGGGAGGTTACAGGTGATTCTCTTGGGAAGATGCTTTATTGGTATCAATCAAATTGTTAGATCTTTTTTTTTTTAACCTCTTCATCTTAAAATTCTGCTAGTAAGATTCATATCTATTTGTCCTCATTCATGATTTAATGAAAAAAAGGCAGTTTTATTTTGGCCAATTCTTCTTTGTGCCTCGTAATCTTTCTGATGCTTTCCTATATAACCAAGTTAAGTTCTGTGTTTTTGTTTTTCTCCTGCTGTCTTCTCTGTCAATCTCCCTTGTTGCTTTTAGTCCAATTCATCATTCCGGTGCTGCACCCGCTCACTGGCTGAAGCCTTTCTGCTCTCAGGTGATTTTTTTTCCGCTTGCCAGTTCCAAAATTGTGCGACTAACATTGTTGTTTGACAGCATTACATTGTGTGGGGGTTTTTTTTAAGACTTTTGGAGCAAACTGTGTGTGTCTGGTATATTAATGGATGTGAGCTTTGGCATGATCATTTAACCTGTTGCTGAGTTCATGGTTCTAGAAAAGATAATGTGTGCGCTCTCTGCAGAGAATGTTTTTCTCCTTGTGTCTGTGCATGTACTGCTTCCTTGTGCCTTTAAGGTAAGTTAGGCAAGTACATTGTTTCTTGAAAGAACTAGTTAAAGCCTTATTTCTTTCAAAGTATTGAAGGAGAGATTTAAAATAAGGTCAGGACCAGATTAGCCAGCTGATTGTCCTCCTTAGTGTGAGCACCTATTTTCATTGAGCTCAATAAGCCAGCATTGTTTGAGCATCGTGGCTCTTTCTAAGCACTTTTTTTTGCTTTCATACTGGAAAAGTACAATATAAAAGGATTCTGTTGGAAAAGGTAGCCAAAACAATGCAAATTCCAGTCTCCCACCACAAGTAACATAGTCAGCAGGCTAACAGCAGTAGATGTGCATGCTATTTTTAGTCTGTAATATCAAAATGCCACGTTTATATAACAAGAGTGTTTTGGTTTGAATTGTTAAGTGATTAACTGGACCCCATTTGCCATTCTGATGAATGGATTTGTCGTGCTGCATGAGACATTGCCACTACTCTCCATGACAAATTTGTGTGATTATTTTGTATGCAGCTTTTTATATAAATTCCAGTATATGTAATCACATGTTGATAATCTGGAAGGGGAAATGAATCCAAACAAGAACCAAGGGTTCAGGCTGAGAAGCCAGTGTGCTAAGGTTTTGGTTGATACGGTCATGACCCAGTCTTCCTTGCTGAGGATCCCTTTCAAAGGGAAGGGCCTTCGGGAGCTGATCTAAGCAGCAATTTTCGGGAGGGGCCAGACATCCTCTGCCACTTGCCCCATTTCACACACCTCAGCCAGGAATGCAGAAGGTCTATGGGGTCAGAGCCCCACACCTTATCTCGCTGACCTGTGTGTTCGCATGCTTAAAGCAATTAGTATTCATTTATATGGATATCCTCAAATGTCTTGATGGCTTTGAAAGTGCCCACACTGTGCCCACACAGAAACCTCTCTGTATTTTAAGTGTCACTTCCTGCACAAATGGTTAGGACGTGAATTCCTATGTATTTCAGGGCTATGGTGTTTTGTTACAAAGCTCCGCATGCTTTGAGATGAAGGCTGTGATGTAAAGGTCTGCCATTTCAAACCACTTCCCATTGCTGTGTTTTTTACCCTCTGTTGCAGAGTTTTCCTAGGTCTTCCTGGCCGGTGAGGATTCTGTCCTTCTCTTCCTAAATCTTCTGTCTTCATTTTACTTTATGATCTTAACTGAGTATTTTTATGAAATAGTTTTCAATGCTGTATTTAAATTTTCACATGGAAATTCTGTATTTTGCACACAGTGAAAATTGTTTTAGCTTTATTTATGATATCTGCTGTAAACAAAAATAAATGTAGTTCTTTATAAGTCTCCTTGTTTCATCTTTTCCTTTTAAAAGTATTTCCTGAGAACAGAGACTTAATAGTGACTTCACGCTCGTTTTGCCAATTCCTCTTCTGGTGTGTGGTGTTATGTTATCTCTGTGGCGGCCTGACCCAAAGGCCAGAGAGTTTTCCTGTGCTGGTATAATCACACGTGTGTCCCTTTTGAAAGGGATCTACATCAGGGTCCCTGACAAATTATCCACTGCAGATCAGGAGGTGCCTGGTGTTGGGATTTATGCTTCCTGGGAATGACAAACTGGTGGTGGTAAGCTTGGGGGTTGCTTGTTTTGCACACACAAGTGGCATTTGTCCTCTTCTCTGACTTCTGTTACCTTTCCTTATGGTTTTGGTTTTTTACATATTAACAAATGTCATAAAGGTCATGCTAAGTTACGTGTATTTGGGACCTTCTATTGTGTACAGGGAAAGCAGGTAATCACTGTGGGCAAAGCTTTACCTTTGCTCCTGGCTCTGGAGTGTTTTTTAAAAGCTCCCTGTATCTTCTGGAAGCTGTGGCTAATGGTGACCTATGATCTGTTAACAGTGGTCTTCTTTTATTTATTTATGTATTTATTTTCCCCTCCTTTGTTCTGTTGTGGCTTTTTAAAAAAAAAAATTGGTTTTGGTTTTAAAGCTGGTGTTGTAGCTCTTTTTTAAATAGCTCCAAAAGAGCTTTCCTAAGTCTTCCTCCCCTTCATGCCTGAGACCAGTATAGGTTAGGGATGGACCTGGTGGAAAGCACTTCTGAGGAGAAGGATCTGGGGGTGGATAGTAAACTATCCATGAGCCAGCAATGTCCCCTTGTCACCAAGAGGGCCAATGGGATCCTGGGCTGCATGGGGAAGAGTGTGGCCAGCAGGTCGAGGGAGGTCATTCTCCCCCTCTACTCTGCAATGGTAAGGCCACAACTGGAATCCTGCATCCAGTGCTGGGCTCCCCAGTTTGAGAGACAGGGAACTACTGGAGAGAGTCCAGTGTAGGGCGGAAAAGATAATTAAGGGATTAGAGCATTTCCCTTATGAGGAAAGGCTGAGAGAGCTGGGACTCTTTAGCCTGGAGAAGAAAAGGCTGAGGGGAGACCTTATTAATGCTTATAAGTATCTAAAGGGTGGGTTGAAGGAGGATGGAGCTGGACTCTTTTCAGTGGTTCCCAGTGACAGGACGAGGGGCAACGGGCATAAGCTGGAACATAGGAAGTTCCATTCAAATATGAGGAAAAACTTCCTTTACCATCAGGTGACAGAGCCCTGGAACAGGCTGCCCAGGGAGGTTGTGGGGGTCTCCTTCTCTGGAGATCTTCAAGACCCACCTGGATGCAGTCCTGAGTAATGTGCTATAGGCAATCCTGATTTAACAGGGCAGTTGGACTCGATGATCTCTAGAGGTCCCTTCCAACTCTGACAATTCCATGATTCCGTGATTGATCTTCTTTCTTTTGCTTGCTCTGCAATTGTTAGGCTATAACCTCTTCCTTTGTATTTCAAGAAAAAAAAAATCCCAGAAAGAATAGTCCCAATAATTTAATGGAAAGATTGTGTGATAATTTTTTTTAAACTTAATTCAAACTGAGCCCCACTAAAGCTGATTGAATGACAGAAATGGGTTTTATGAAAGTGTTGCTAAAGACAACATTGCTAAAGAACAACAAATGTTATTCCCAATGAACTATTCCATCTTCCCTGCCAAAGAAAAAGCCACCATGCACAGTAGGAAGTTTGCTGTCTGAGAGGGAGATGATTTGCATAATGAAAACATAGGGCAACGAATACCATTTAAGACAATGCTTGACACTTCCTTAATTGCAGTGGACAAAGCAATTTGGGTAAAACTAAGTCTACTCTTTGTACAATTTACAGTTTTGGAGCAGGCTCCTTTCTGCCATCTTTACTTGATCATTTTAGGCAGAGGCAGTGGCATGGAAACATCAGAAGACGTTTTTGTGTCTGCAGAAGGTGATGATTTGTTTGGCACTGAAGCTTTGGGAGGCATCAGATGTTCATGCTGTTCTCATAAAATTTCACTTATTCCTGCTAAATATCAGTACAATAGCTTGGAATTGGAGTAATGTAGTAATTGTGTGGCTCGTGGTGATGCAGAAGGCCCAAAAAGTCAAGTCACTAGCAAATCCTCTTACTAGAGGGATATACTTAACAGTAAACAGTCTGTGCCCTGGAACACCAATGGACAAAACAAGACACAGCATACAGAAAAGAAACAAAGCAGACAAAATGAGCAATGCGAGGGGATCAAGTTTGTTAGTTCCCTCACTCTCAGTCAAAATCGTCGCATACTAAAACTAAATACCCCTTGTTTTGCTCCCAGTAGTGCTACTAGAGGAAGAGGCTAGTGGGTTAAGTTCTGAGTGAATTTAACAAGCCTAATCTGGGACTCTAGCCTTCCTCTGGCCACATGAGCAGACCTCCCTGTGAGTAGGAGGCCTGAATCCTCCTCCTGCTCTTCCGTAGAGCTCTCTCCAAAAGCCCCAGTGCTCCCAGTCCGCGGAAAGCACGCGCTGTTACAAATGCACCCCAGAGCAGTCATGCTTTGTCCCTTCATGTAGCTGGAATTGGCAGCAGGGCTTGTTTGAAAAGCAAAACGGCTGCTGCTCCGGTCTGGAGCTGCCGCTGAACTGGGTGCCTTCCAAAAACCATGGTTTCAGAGCAGCAGATGATGCTAATGTCTCTTTACATAGTTAATGTTTTCTAAGACTCGAAAACTACTTGATGTTATAGATGCCATTATAGCAGTAGAGGTGCAGAGGTGATGTTTGCTGTGTCTGGCAGGCTCAGGAGTTGTTCTGTCTTTCCTCCTCTTTACACTGGTTCAAATGGGTTCTGAACTTGTCTCTTGCCACCAGGGCCATTTGGATTGGAAATACGTACACAGGTAGCCTAAAGACAGGCTAATCTTTAATTCTCAAATTCTTGCTTTAATGCTCAAAGCAAGGCAGCATTACCTGCCTAGATGTCTGTTAATAAAAATCAGACATGTTGGGATTCTGTAAAGGTAACCTTCCTTTATTATAATTATGCTAATGCCTTATAATGAAAAAGATCTTGCTGTTTTTAAACATGTGTGATTTAAAAAAAAAAAAAAAAAAAGGCGAAACTCAAATTCAAATGTCAGCTTTTCATTAACTCTACCAAGAAGAGTAACTTCTATTCCTCTCAGTTTCTTGCTACAGCTATAGAATGCCAGTGAAAGTTACTTCTGTATGTATTCCAGCCTCAAGCAAGGGCTATGGTCTGAGTTTTCCCCACAACATTATGGCAATTAGTTACTGTAATTGGCTTTAATTCACTTCTGGCTCACTCATTCCTCACATTCCAATCAAAAAAATGAATTCTGAAATGCACTGAATTCTGCATTAATATTTATGTTTTTGAAGGCATGACATGTTTGCAGATGACTTGATTTTTTTCATGAAAGATCATGTCGCTGAAGATCAGAAGACATTATGTGTTAGTGCTTCATCCAAGTATATGTATTAGTCATGTAAATATTTCCCCAAGTCTCTTTCCTTTTTTTCATGAACTGTGTTACAAAAGAAGGGAGGGTTTGATCTCGTCTCATCAGGTGGTGGGCTCCAAACTTGTTTAAAATGGATGGAATTTATGAGACCTTTTTTTGAAATGTGAAATTACAAAGAAATTTGCATGTTGTTATAGTCTTGAATTTGCTCTTTCAGCATTTATTCTGCAGATATTCATTCACATCTTTGTTTAAAGGTTATTGGTGCTTTGAATCTGTGTGCAAAAATATTATTCTGACAGACACTGATCACTCTAGAGACCAAAACTGTTGTCGCCGCACTCTGAATTCACAATTGCTATATGCATTAATATACCAGACTAACACAGATTGCTCTGATAAAATATTTTTTATTTACTCTAAAAGCATAGAGATACTGTGTTAGCATAGGAGTTTTTCTTTGAGAAGCAATTTTTCATAAAGATATACATTCAGTATATTTTCACTGAATTTTTTCCTTCATCTCTATTAATTTTTGCTGAGCTTGTATTAGCGTGTTAACATGCACCATCCCGGATGCATTCAGAAGTTGTGTGCTCGTTTGTCTTGCTTTGACTTCAAATTCCCTGGTTATATTCCGTGCCTGAATTCAGAAATGTCTGTTTATTGGGTAAGCAATGGACACTTTGAAAAAGTGTTTTGCTGCTGAAGAACTTGTGTAGGTGCTGGCATGGGCCCACAGGGGAGCAGGAGAAGGTGGGCATCTGATATGAGGGCAGGAGGAGGGGGCCGTGGAGGAGCCCATCACTAGGCCATGGGTGGAGAAGGGACAGCAGGAAAGCATTTGCTTTTGGTGATTGGAAGCCAAGTAGGTGATCTGGCCCCGCTGCCACAGGGGACAGCATGCCACCCCATGGAAATGGGAGAGATGGCTGCCTTTGTTCTTTGCCATCTGTTAGCCACCATAACATGGAAATGACTGCTGCAGATGTATGGAGCAAGCATGAGGTAAAAGGAAGAGAAATGTGGCAAGAACTGAAATCTGAAATGTCAGTCATCATTTCTTTCACAGGAGTCCTCTTTCAAAGACAAACTGGTTTCTCAAGTGTGATGAAAAGTCAAAGTTTGGACAGACATCAGTTTGGGAATGCTGGTAGATGCCCTATAGCCTCCTAAGGCAGATTTATGAAATACCCTAATGGCATGTCTTCCGTTTCAAACTCAAACACAGGTGATCCCCTCACGTAACCTTGTCTGTTTCAAAGCTCAGGCCAAAGGGCACAGCTGAAGCTGTAACAGGTTTGAGCTCGGATTTCACTGCAGTGTGAGCTGGTAACCAGTTATATTGCAGCAAGACCCAAGTCTAACCAAGGTGGAGGTGTGGTAGTTCCCTCATCCCCTCTCACAGTCCCTCATGGGCTGTGTTTCCCTGGTGAGCGCTTTCTGATCTGTATCTTGTTCCTGTGCTGGCTGGGTTCATTTCAGCTGGGGTTTCCACAGCGTTGCTGTAAA